AATAATATTGTTGATCTGATCCTGCAGAAGCTTTAATCTTCCAACATAATGCATAACGTAGCCTCTTAACTAAAAACATTGCCCTAGAACAATGGATTGAATATGTTAGGATCCATCAAAAACATCTACTTAATTTTATGGTTTGTAATAAATTTATAGTCACTTTGTTAAGATCTATAAATAATGGATTATTTTTTAACAAAACTACTTTGGGATGCGACAAGAAAATTACTATATTCTTACTTAAGTACAGTATAAGGAAAATAGGAAGATTAATTTTAAGAGAAAAGAATACCATAACATAGCTATCTATTCAGGGTATACCTTTCTTAAGTACAGTATTATAATCTTTTCAAAATAACAATAATTACTGTAATTTATTTAATTGGATGATATTATCGTCTATTGTCAGTCTCAATATTCCTAAATTTTTTTATCTATTTCTTGCAAAGAAGTATTCTTGTTTTCCAGAGACAAACAGTACGAAATTGGATGTTATTCGAGATTTAGAGAAAACAATTATACATGGTGGTGCCAAATGGTAGGTATATAGCTTCTGTGTGTATATACTTATTTTAATATAACTTATATTAATTATTGGTGATTATATATTGTTATATTGAAAGATTTGAGCACATAGCAAGTAATACCGGAGACTAAATCGGACAAACATGTATGCATTCAGATATCAAATTAAAATAATCCAGTTAATGGGAACAGATTTCAGAGAAGATTATTTATTTGGAGAAGATAGATTATTACAAGCTGTTCGTCAAGTAGGTTATATAAAATAGGATATCATTATTATTGGAATTTATTTTATGTTGTATATTCATTTATGTGAAAATTTCATTTTTAGGAAAATTAATTTCCTTTGAACAAACACATTGTATATTATGTATGAAAAGAAAAGAAAAGAAGAACAAGTGAAATGTGCATGGAAGCTCTGAAATATATCTGTGAGAGATTAAAATATATAGAAGTCGATAATAATAATGATTCTGAGTTAATGCTTGGTACAACTTTATTAGAATTCTTTCTCAGGTTTCAACGATATGCTATGTAAGATATAAAAGCAATGAATTATTTTAATGATCATTTAATGTATCTTCTTTAAAATAATTAATTGTTTTATAGCCTGGGCCAAATAGTTTATGCCAAAGGACAATTGGAATCTATGAAAATACGAATAGTTTAGAATTGGTGTAGCATATTGGTTGGATATTGCAGTATACAAGGCTTTAAAACAAATCGACGGAGCTGTTGAATTTGATACATTACAAGCTATTGATAATATTATGCGATATATATGCAGTTGTCACATTAATGATTTTTTATCCAATTGGACATAACTGGCATGTTGAAGAATCTTATACATTAGTCACCAAAATTTTAGACATACATTATTAATATCTTCCAATTTTTTTTCTATCATTTTTTATATTCATGATCGTATTAATATGAGTGAGAAAATGATGTTATAGGACATTTGTAAGTGTTTCATTATATATGCAGATAAACTAGCTACGAAAGCAAAGACTACAACAAATTTAGGACAGTTTATTGAAAATAGCGTGTATCTAATGCTCGACGCTGTGCTATTAATAATATTGATTATATTAGAACATTGATTGATCCATTGATGCAAGTAACTTAGACTTACAATCGTTGATGGTTTAGGAAAAAACAAGAAAGGAAAAGAAAATAGGCCGTTCGTTGCAAACAGATTCTTTAGCTGATCGTTGCTAATGTGACAGAAACTGTGAAAAATAAAATTTATGAATTGTTAGAAGTTGTTGCGCACAAAATGGAACTTAGTATGAGGCTGTAAGTAAAATTCCATCTCATGCTTATAAAAAAATATGAAAGGTTTATCTAAAATTTGTATAAAAAATATTTTATCATTGTAGATATTCATGGAACGAGCAGATTTGTTTCATGATAAATGTATGCAAGATAATAATGTAATTGACACATGTAAGAATTAGTATATAAATCTGCGATAAAAAATAAGAATCTGTCGAATATTTTCTTAAAAATAATTAGTGAATATATACATATATTATTTTAATACAATTTAGAACTTGAGTTTATTTCCATACTACCTATGAGGTAGAACTTTCAGTGTTTTTTTTGCGTGGTTTCTCCTTTAAGCTAGTCCATTCTATATTACTTCGACTATTACTACTACTAGTGATAATAATAATAATAATAATAATAATAATAATAATAATAATATATGTAAATGTTATTTATATATATCTAAATATTATTTAATACATTTTATATTATAATAGTAAAGACTAAGAAACAGTGAATAAGAAACAGTGTAGAAACAAATGCAAACGATCATCATGTAGTAAAACAAAGAGAAAAGATAGCGAATGAAAACAAAAGAAAGATTTCATACTTTTTTTCATATTTTGCGTTTGTATTAGACGTTATCTATCGATGAGCGGTCATGCATCAAAATTATCAAGGATACGATTTGTTGGATTGCGCTTAAACTACGTAAAATGATACATATTTCCTTTTTTTGTTATCCTAAATTACCCGTCACCATATGTGTCATAATGTATATTATATAAGTATATTCTTCTGTTTCTTCTTATTACTGTCTCATTACTATATTATTATATTACATATTATTATTATAATAATAATAGTAGTAATAATAATAATATAATGTGAACTCCTGCACAGGAAACTATAGCAAAATAGCGCTGAGAAGAAAATCTCATAGATAATGCGGAAATGAACTCGTGTTTTGATCTTTATTACAAATAATATATAATATATATGTTTACTAATTCTTAATTTTAAAAATATTTATGTAAACATTTCATAGATCGAAATACGCAAAATACTTATAATAATTTTAATTTAAATTGTCAGTACTTAAAAATTTTGATATCGCAGCTGTTGGCTACTTGAAGTGTAAACAAAACAAAATCTTGGTTGCTTGAACTACTTGCCGAGTCAGTTGCCTTTTGCATTTCAAAGAATAAACAATAGAACTTTCTCTTTCTAAAGGTGAAAACTTGAAAATTAATACTTTCGCTAATTTTATAATTATTTAAGTAATTTATAACATATTCGGAATATATTAATATTTAAATAATAGTAAATCTGTTAAATATTAGAAAGCTCGTAATACATAATAAATAGTAAATCTTTATTTAAACTTCCAATATTTAAAAATTTTAAACTCGCGATTGTTGGAATACTTGAATAATATAAACAAACACGAACTTTTGATTGACTTTGACGGTTATTGAGTCAGTTTCCTTTTGAATTTCGGCGAGTAAACATCGGAACCTTTTTTGTTTATTACATTTTTAAATAATAATTAATCAAATATTTAATCAATTTTGTTGGTAAAAGAAAAGTCTGGTTGGAGTCCAGAATGAAACAAGTCGAATAGAATCATTACTTTTGAATCAGGAAAGTTGAGTAGAGTCATTGATAAAAGGCAAAAAGACTTGTAGTATCATAGTTTGTGAGTCTTAGAATAAATTAATCAATTTTTAGTAAAGGATTTTTAGCAATTAATATATTAATTTTTGTTTCTCTCTCTATACTCTCTCGATCTTTTTTAAGACTTGCGTTAGAGTTGCGTTAGATTTATCAGTTTTCTTTCACGTTTTAGAATAAGGAACGGTTTTAGTTCTTTGCCATTAACGGTAGTTATCGAATGCTCTATAGTAGTGGTTAGGGCACGAACCAAAGAAGAGGCTATATGTCGAAGAGACCTCACAAATGCTGGCTCAAAAGGGCAACTATTAAACTATTGAGTTATTTTTTAAGTTTCCTCAGAATCTTTCGAAAATGGTTCTTAGTCATATTTTAATTTTACCATGTCACTGAAAATGTTCTTATGGTGATGGATATAATGGTGTAGATTTAAGAAACTGAGACGCTATTACATTCCTTCTCCATTCCTACATTGCCACGCGTACGCGAATAGAATTATTTCATATTTTATGCATTTTTATTATTAAAGTTGAGTAATAAATTTTTCGCATTTTTTTCCAAAATTGAATTAAAATTAATGTAATTAATATAATTATATTTTGTTAAAATATAATTTTATTTTAATAAAATTAAGTTTTACGTTAAAGTCAAATTATAATCGTTTTTTCTTTTCTAAAGTTTAATTAAATTCATGATTTTATTTTTATAAAATAAAATTTTATTTTAAAGTCATAGCTACAAGACTTATAAGATATGACGATCGTGAGGACCACTGAAACTGCACTGAATAAAGGTGCACATGGAGCTGAAACAAGCACACAAAGATGTGTGCCAAGGTCTCCCTTTGCCACGCGTCACGAGAAAAGAATATTTGTTTAGATTAGAATTCTCATTTTTTTTCTCTTTTAAATTTAAATTAAATTAAATTCATAATCTTATTTTTCATAAGTAATCTATATATTATTACGAGCTGACTTAAAAGAGTTCAGAGTGAATTCGGAACTAGAACACCATTTCTAGGTACCTAAAGAATTTAACATATAACAACGAGTTATTGTCTGTCTTCAAGGGAACTCGGTCTGAAAAGATGTGACTCGCGAACATTTTGAAATATCTGTATATTTTCTTAAGAGACTTTGTAAAATTGCTCTTTTTATATTTTCTCACTATTCTTTTCTATTTCCTCTTGCTTCTCTTCTTTTCAGACTTGATCATCGAAGGAAGGATCATTAGGTAGAATCATCGGGTGAAACTCTTGGGGAAGCCCTCGGCTATGGTCCCTTGGGAGGGATCTTGGGTGAGACTCCTTCTTCCAATATCAAAAAATTAAATGCGTTTTTGATACTCTGGTTTCGCTCAGGTGGAACGATCTTCAATATCTACTCCTCGATCTGAATTCCATCGTTCTCATGCGCGTATAATTTCCGACTTTCTTTTCTACTCTTTCTCTTCTTCTCTTTCTCTACTAACGTTCTTTTCTACCAATTTCTTTTCCTCTTTCTTCACTTCTTTTCAGGTTAGATCATCAAAGGAAGGACCATTGAGTGGGACCTTTGGGAGAGGGTAGTAGTAGTAGCAACAACAGTCGTAGTAAGTAGTAGCAGTAAGTAGTAGTAGTAATAATTACTTTAATAATAAGTATAATAATTACTTTAACAAAATTAGTCAAGAATATTAATAATTGCTGACCACAGAACCTCTTTGAGTTAATTCGGATATTGTGATTACGTGTAAATATTCTATTCAATCTCTAAGTTGCAAAATTTACAATTTATCAAAGTTAAAATGACAAGGATTATCAATTATATGGACTTGAATTTACGCCAGAATGATAATGAACTGTACAGCAGCCGGAGAAATATGTGTATCTCGTTGTTTATTGCAGAATGGACAAATCATTCTCATCATGACCGTATTTATTACATCGAATGAAACAATTTTATAGATTATTGATTTTATCCATGATTCCTCATCTATACCATAGAAGATGCTACTCTATTTAATCAAAAATTATAATAAAATACCTATGATTCTGACTGAAGATTTCAACATTAATTTTACATCAGTTGAACGTGGCCACTAATTGAACTTCTAAGTTCGAAATTCAACTTGTATATGAATAACAATCCAGCAGTCAATTAAAAAATATAGGATTGCAATCAACTCAGTATTCATCAGATATTAAACCATCTGAAATTTGCAATTTAAATATCATATTTCAGTTATCACAAGCCAATAGTCTCTTTGATGGATTATAAGAGAATGGGCACATTCAAAAAATAATAGTATGAGGTCTATCAAATAACTATCCGTTATTGTGTTATTGCAGGAGAAAGAGGATTAATAGTGAGAATATTCGGAATAGCTAATAGTCGCTTTTTCGCGTTTCTTTATGTGTCCTCCAAGTCATCGAATCTTCTTCCCTTCTTCAATTTGGAGAATAGCCAGATTAGAATTGTATGGGACTTGACGAAGCTGTACAATGTTGTGTTTCACAAGAAATTGTAGGATAAGTTGCGATGAATATGTAGGTCCGTTGTCGTGATGCAGCACCAAGTCAGCACTTTTCCACAAACCTCGCCATTTCCTTCTCACTGCGTCATGCAGTCGTTTCAAAATTTCTTTGTAATACTTTTGAACAGTCAAATGATGATTTTAATTAATTAAAACTCGAACTCGTTCTACATTTTCAGGAGTTTTAGTCGTTATGACCTGCCAAAACGAGAGTCATTTTTAACTAATGTATGACCATTTTTAAATCTCTTAAACCACTCTTTAAGCTGTATATTACTCATGGATTCATCTAGAAATATTACATTGGATAGTTTTCGAACACGAATGGTCGAGTTTTTGAAAAAATTTAATGCACACTTTTTGTTAAATGTTGATGCGTTTAGTCATCGTGAAATGCGACGCGCACAAAATTCAACATTTACTCATTGTCGATTGAAGACTCAAAGGACCATGCTGCCTGTCAGGGACACTCATAAATGTCCCCCTAATGATGAATAGCTACTTTAAACAATAGCACACTTAAGTTAGAGCACAAGATCGAATAATCAGATTTCGTATGTGCAAAGAAATATTGAATAAAGAAATATAAAAGAAATATAAAAATAATATACGTAAATATACATTGCAAATATAAATAGGGATATTTTTATGAAAAAATGAATATACAACTAAATTGATTCTACGAGTTCTCTAAGCACGTGGTGATTACACATCTATTTTTTTTTTTTTCAAGAGAAATGCCAAGAATAACGTCTGCGCTAATAATAAGTCCAGATATAATTCTTGACCGATTTTGATGAACAAGATCTTATTTTAAAAATGAAAATTTAAACGATTTAAACTTTCACAAATTTTTGAGAAAGCTTTTTATGCCTAAACTATTTTCGAAAGTCATCATTTTGGGATGTAATTTTTTTCAAAGAAGACTAAAGCTTTTTCAAGCAGTTTAATAAAATTAAACTATCACGTTGGAATTGTTTTATCGACTGTGAATAGAATTAAACTATCACGTTGGAATTGTTTTATCGACTGTGAATAGAATTAAACTATCACGTTGGAATTGTTTTATCGACTGTGAATAGAATTAAACTATTATGTTGGAATTGTTTTATCGACCCTGAATAATTGTATTAATAACGTTGTGAACTTTATAATAGATTAGTCAGGTATGTATTGAGGATCTGTTTTTCACGAATTGTCGGTAATGTTATCTATAACAAAGATAATATGCTAAGATAAATTTGATAAATTTTCTTCTTTCATTTTTATCGTTTACAATTGTAACAATTATCAGAAAGTGGAAATTATAACAATTACAAAAATAAATATTAAGATTTATAACATTTTTTCTTAATTTGAAAATAATCACTAATTCTTATTTCGTAAAAAGATAATTAGATATGAGGAATTACGATTATGAAAATTATATTTTTAAATAATTTAAAAACTGCGCCAAAATGTTTATCACTAGAAAGAACGAACTACACAGTGGAAAGTTACTTGTAGTCCTCTAGAACCTGATACTAGGACGTGATCAAATTTGAATTGAGTAAAAAAATATAGTTTAGATCGATCAATAATTAGCATTTTTTCGGTTAAATTATAAAGACAAAGCGAACAATGAGATAAGAGAGGATAGTCATAAAGCAGAAAATCCATCGTGATTACACGAGCAATATTTAAATTATCTTCAGTAAATTCAAGTAAACGAGAAATTAAAGTTGTTCGATAAGATGAAAAATCAAATGATTGTTATATTATATTAATCCCTACAATTTATAAAAGTAAAAAAAGCGAAAAAATATTCGAAGCTTATTTTCCTGCGCAAACGTTACGAAAAGTGCGTATAATTGATTTTCCAAAATAGCAACGTTGTATTAGAATATATTATATTTATCTTTCACTGTTAATAATAAAATATTATCCTTCAATTTTTTTTAATTGATATTATGCCAAACATAATAATAAATTATTATAGCAGTATAATGATTTAAAATTCAATTAAAGTGGATCAATTATTAACAGAATTTATTTTTCTCTCAAATGGCCGTAGATTACTATCGGCAAACACCCATTACATTATGGAAATATTATATCAATAATATTATATCAATGTAACATCGATTAGATTTTTACACGGAAACTTGTGGAATCTCTCTGTACTATATTACAGTCATGGTTAATTGTGTAGTAATTGAAGTTTTCGATTCGGCGCCGTTTTTGCTATCTTTAACCAGGAAGAAATCTCCTCCATTTAACCTTAAAAGCCAGAATTCTCGGTAAGTGACATGTCAACCCAGTATCGCGGATTTTAGAGTAGAATCATTGTCAGCCTGTAGGTCTCCAGATAGTATTTGCGATATAAATCTATATCTAAATTATGTAACATAAGTTTTACCAGGCGATGGCTGGATATATTTCAATATTTTTTAGAATTTTTGTTTTTTTATTAAATACTTGGATATAATATATATCAATTTAATATAACTAATCATATTTAAGTAGATAATAAAATTAGATAATATGATAAAACAATTTTTTCTTCAAAAAATGAACCATAATATTCCAATTTCTTTATTATTGTTTCAGATTTAGTGTAATATCTTCCAAACACATAGGTTTTAATGTTTTACAGCAAAGCATAAAACATTTCAATTGTATGATATGTAGAACTGTTCTTTTCTACTTTTGGTTAGATAAATAGATTTCGCTGTATACTATCGATTTTTCCTGTTCTCTTCCAAAATGCAGTGAACCGTCTTTAATAATGAAAATGCAAATATAAAATTATTTTACTCGCGTACACGGAGCAATATAGATACAGAAACGGAATATTAAATTATTTTCCTTTTTCAAATCTACCTATGCACTCATCATCATAAGAACATTTTGAGTGACAATATGGTAAAATTAAAAAATGACTAAGAGCCATTCTCGAAAGGTTCTAGTAAATTTTTGACTTACAGGAAAGACACCTTGAGAGAATTTCAATGTTTACTCGTCGAAATCCGGAACAATACTGATCCAGTAACCGTCAAAGTCAGTCAACAGTCCAAAGTTATTGACATTACACGTAGCCAATAACCACGAGAATAAAATTTTAAAGTATTAAAATTTTAAAATATTAAAATTTTAAATAAAGATTATTTTAAGTTTTTCGTATGTTTCGAGCTATGAAATGTTTAAATAAATCTGCTACTGTTTAAATTTTATTTAGTTATATTCCGAGCACATCTCAAATTGTTTAAATAATTCTAAAATAATCGAAAGTATGATTTGTTTAAACTTACCCATTTGAAAAGAGCCTGCTTCGATCTTTACTCGTCGAAATTCAAAAGAAAACTGATTCGATAACAGTCAAGACCGAGCGTTCAAATTTTAACTCTATTTAAATATTAATTTAATTCTATTTTACGTGTTTCGAGTTATAAAATGTTTAAATAAATATGCTATTGTTTAAATATTAATTAGTTATACTCCGTACAATGTAATAAAGAATATTTGTTTCGTTATAATTGAGAATTCTCTACATTTTTCTTACGAAAAATTTTTTTTCCCTTGGCGGAATGCTTGTTATGTCACAAGATTTGTAAACTTCTTTCTTTTTTTTTCTTTTTTCTTCTGTTCTTCGCGAGATGAATGTATAACTTCTATATAGAGAGTGTCCTGCAACGTAATGTACATTGAAACTATGTATTCTTTTTGTTATTCTAAGTCAAAGTCTTAATACACATACGCCCTAAAGTCGATTGTTTCAATGTTATAACGAAAAAACAAAATTACATAAAATAAGAATAATATTATTTATTAAAGATAATATTATATATTGATAATTAAACAATAATTAAAGGGAAATGTCTAAGCTATATTTATGCGATGTTTTTACTTAAAACGACAGTCAATTTACCAATATTATCTTGCATAGCAAATATGGAAAACGATTCGCTTCAACTTATGCGACAACTTCATACTCGACATAATTCATGTAAGTTTACATGATACACGTTTTGACTATATCGACAATTGTAATGTTTATATGGCTTTAATTATGTTTATATGGTTTTTTAAGCGTACATCTACCTTCCTCTCGCAATTTACTTATGTTTACTTTTCCTTTGTTTGCTTAAAAATTGAATATGACTAGCCAGGATCAATGTTGCGTCTACCGATCGTCTACTATTGCATCAATTGAGTAGTCTGAACGCTGCCATTAAGATATATGTATGTGTACGATATCTATTGACAAAACCGAGTGTCAAAAATTGCCGAATCCGTGATTATATGGTTAACGTCAGTGTCATATGAAAATGTACTTATAAAACATATACGCCACTGTATAAGATAGTAAAATAATCGAATAGGGAAAAAAACCGATTTGGTGTTATATGAACGAACTCTTAAAAAGCTGGATTTATAGAAGTGTTTCACAAAGAGAAGTTGTAAATTCATCTTATATATAGTTCGTATAAAAAAGATATTTTAACAAATTTCTCTACTGCTATAATCCAATATGTTGATGATATTGCGATTTATATTAAATTATCATCTGTAGATACAGAAAAAGTAAACATCGAAAAAGCTATTACCACCATTCAATGTCGACATTTGATCGTATTCTATATGCACCAAAACTGTACCCAAAGAATATATCATCTAGGGACATTTACATAAACTCAAGATATTTAAAAAAAAGTAATGTTTCTTAAATGAGTATTTAAATGTTTCTTTTTTAATGAGAAATATGGTCAAATAAAGGAGTAATTATTAAATGTATATTTTCTAAAGTATATTTCGCAATATTACATATTTAATATATTATCAATACAAATGATGGAGACAACCACACTCTGCACCCGGCGTCTATACAATATGTTTAATTATCCTCGATATCTAGCCGAAGTGAACAACTGCAGTTTCTTCGAAGGCACATGCAAATCCATGAAAATTTATCCGTATCGATCGTTAAGAAAAATCATCGCCAATAAATAAATGATTCTTCCCAATCTTTTTGTAATTCTTTTAATCAATTCTAAAACTACACAGTCGAGAATCGGTGAGAAAAGCTACTTTGTGAATACTAACAAAATAAACGAAGAACGAAACGGTTTAGCGTTATAATATTTATAGATTACTACACGCAGAATTATATAAGAATTAGTTTTATCAGTTTCAAAAGTGGCGCCAATTCACACAATAATACTTTATGTAAAGACTACGATCTCTACGGAATATCGTCTGTAGTTCTATTAATAAATTATTATATTCCACTAAAAATATAATATACATTATACACGTCTAGATTTAAAACCAGTGGAAATCATATTTTTAAAATGTCTTTTAAAATGGCGGCGAACAATTCATAGAAATGTATTTTATTTCTTTTTTTTCTTCTTCAAAATCCACGAACATCCGATTCTCAAGACGCACTTTCACAGTTGTCTTTTGACAAGTCGTACATCTAACAAACATATAATACAAATTATAACGTAATATTATAAATAATAGGCTGACGCAGACGTCAATATTTTTGAGAACGTATCATTACATTGTTACGTTGTTGTTACGTTCGCTGACGATATTTTGAAAGAGTGAACTACAGTTCGTTATTTTGTTCACAATTATTAAGATAATTGTTTAATCCTTACTTTGGACGGATTAAGACAAGGTACGAATCATAGTGTTACGATAGACTCTTCGATATGGAACTTTATATTACTCTTAAAATTGTTTTACCATTGCAAATTACAATTGTGCACTCCACGCAAAAAGGATTAATGGTGAAACCTATTTTACAAGAGACATATCGTTTAATGCAAGTTCTATATCTGGTCCGCTAGTTATAGGATCTCGAATTTATATTTTTTTTTATTTTATAAACGACATCCTCTTAAAGTATTTATATACTAACAAGAAAGAATTCATCGTTTCCTGAGAGTGTAACAAAATATTTTTCCTTTTTATATTCGAAACTAATGTACCATATTTCAAAAGAAAAGAAAAGAAAAGAACGTACGGCCATGCTAAGTGGCATACTAACGAATTAATAAAAAATCGATATAAATTTCATTCCAACATAATACTAGATCATTCCAATATAATTAAATATAATTAAAGTCTTTTATAACAAAGATAAAATCATGCAAAAAATAAAAAAGTAGTACTACGTTTATCGAACGCGTTTAAAATCGATCCGAGAATTATCATCCAGAATTAAAATGTAAAACGTAAAAAGATAGCGTAAAATTGAAAGTATAATTATATATATATTTTTTCCATGTTCGCGTAATAGAATCGATTTCTTCGTAATGTTTATTGCCATATTATGGCATCGCATATTTAAAGGGAGAGTGCTGCACTCTATCATTTTTACTAACACGAATAATAGTTTTATACGGAATCCATCGTTAGAAATGTATTTTGCACAAATGATACTACTTTCAACATCGATTTCACGATTGAAAGATTATTATAATTATTCTTATTATTTATATATTTCTTTTTCTTTTCAGTATTATATTTAAGAAGATAAAGACGATATCTCTCGAGCTATTCGATCAATCCGAAATTCGAATTTTTCGTCTCGTCGTGTTATTGTTTTACAAAAAGGCAAACGTTGCTCAACCATGATTACAAAAGAGCATTTGCTAATTAGCCGAAGGCACGATGCGTGAATCGCTGCGTCACAAAAAGGTATAACCCCTTTATTTTCACACGTATTAGTCATAATTATTAATTACTATCGTTCGTTGTAAGAATAAATATAACTAATGATTATAGTGCAATTATATAACGAATAAACTTATCTATCCGAGCGTATAAAATACAAATCGCTCTTGTAATATGTTGATGATTTGAAACAAAGATCATATATACGGCATGTCTCACTTAATTACATCAACTAAAATTTTTTTACTTGTTTTATCTTAAAAGAGCAATATGTAAAATTCTTCAATAAAGAAGTTAATATATTTTTTTATGGAAAAATTATTAAATGATCGAATTAAATGAGACACCTTCTATACTTGTGACTCGTACTTCACCAACTGTTGTTGAGTTAATTCAAAATCGAAATACTACTTTCGAGTTTTGAACAATAGATAAATATCTCATTATTTACAGCCGCCTTGTTCGTTTGTTGAATTAAATATGAAAGTAGAATGAAAGAAATCGAATTCTCCTGTCAATATCATCAGAACGCAACGAAAATATTTTGTCATTTTCATATGTAATTAATGTAATCTAATTCTATAATTTTATGCTTCACATGTGAGAAAATATCAAATAATACAGAAGTATTCATCATTGGTTCGTTCTCCCATCATTTCGATACAAGTTCAACATTTATTTGATTTTTTTCACACGACATCGATATATTTATAATAGACGGTATTAAAGTTTTTTTATGAGTCGATCGATTACTAATAATACATGAACTAAAATCGTTTACGAACAAGAATCGCAATTGCTGTTTACTCGAGTAAATAAAATTTAAGAAAGATCAATTAGAAGAAATTTCAAAAATCTCCAAAAAATTAATAACTTATCACGGATGATTTTTAATCAACTTAATTCTGAATTATTTGAAGAGAAACAAGCGATAGAAAAATATTTAAAGAGTATCCAAAAGAGAATCTAAGAGATCCAACTGATTCTCATCCCAGCCTGCTGTGGCGATCAATAGACCCGTGAGATCATCTTCGGTGAGATTAACTTGCGTTGATTCAGGTACTTCCGAGAGTGTGTCCGGTATCGGAGGTGAAACGCTGCTCGGTGGTGTTTCATAAAGGGCGGAAAGACAAGTGGTAGGTGGTACACAACTGTTTTGCAACGAATGGTTGCTTATTGAGGTAGAAGACAACGTCATCGATGTCGACGTCGTTGTCGTCGTCGTCGTTGAATTTGTCGTGTTGTGTCTCCTCGATCCTCGATTACGTTGAGTTGTCGATGCACGTCGTCTCGTTCTTTTACCCTCTTCCATACGTTCCAAGTCCAGTTTCCAAAAGCCACCCTTTCCCGGCTCATCTTTCGAACGTGGCAACTTGACGAAACATTTGTTTAACGATAAATTATGCCGAATCGAGTTCTAAGGATGAAAAAAAGAAAATCAAGATTACCAATGAATTCTACGATCTCATAGAAGCTAATATTATTACCTGCCAAGCTGGATCAGCATATTTGTAGTACAAAAAATTTTCGCGAATCCATGCATAGATGTTCGACAAGGACACCTTATTATTATTCGCACGCATTGCGAGGCATATGATTGTAGCGTAGGAGAATGGCGGTTTTGCGTCTGGATCTGTCCGATATTTATCGGCGTTTTCCGCAAGATCTGATGAGAATAAAGACGGAGTGATAATCTTTATTTAATAAAGCAGTGACAGAATTCCATCACTAGACAATAGGCATAATATATTTAATTAAGTAAATTTTCGCAAATGTATTTCACTGAGATAAAAAAAATGATGAAAATGACGGAAAAATTAAGATTCGTCATATTATGTGTTTCATCCTTCCGTGTACACCAATACAATGTTAATTACCTAATTCGGCCTTAAGCAAAGGTGACATCTTCTTTGGTGGTTTTCGTACCAACGGTGGAGGCGATGGCGAACATGGTGGCGTTGGTAAACCGGACGCACTCGTGATATCTAACGATTGCAGCCACGAAAGACTCGTCAGCTCTGCCTCTACTCCGTACTCATCAACCTCCATGTTCTTCGATGGTGAGGATGAACCGTCATCCATCGGTATCTCAACCTCGGCCAACTCTACCCTCATTCTCACCATCTCTCATCACCCAAGCGTGAACTGCGCGATAAGCGCCTTCTGAATACATATACGTTACATATACATATACAAATATGCATATATATTTACTAAAGAACGAAGGTCCTGACATTAAGAATTTATTGCTTAACGTTTCTCTTCGTCGATTTTCATTCCTTAGAAAATTTATATTTGAAAGATTCCGCAACGGTTTTATCAAAACAAATGTAAATATTTTTCATATACATATATAGTTAACTTCAAATTACACCTTATACATGATTCGATCATGTATACGTCATCGAAATACGAGGACTTTCCAATTTTACGTAGTTCGACTTACCTCTTCTTTAAAACTCGCACTGATCGTCGAGATACACTATAAAAAACAAACACGCAGAAGGTATGAACGTTGATGATCTTTTATAAAGATACTATAAAAAATCAAAGAGAAAAACCTTGCACTAAAACTATTAAACGACAAATTGTATATCGATGATATCGAGGATGTTTCCGTAACTTCACAAAAGATATGTTCCGTATTAATCGAATCGATCATACGATTTATGAAAAGTTTATTTTTGAACAAAAAATTGATTTAATAAAGTGATCTCGATGAAACGAATTTGAATAGGCCAACGATAGTGAAGAAGATCGATGAATGTATTCACGAGATACTAGAGACAAAAGAAAGAAGAAACAGAGACAATTCGTTGCGTTGGTCCGCATGATTCCTCGAGTTCGACTGGTAGCTCTGGTAGTCGAGGGAGCTCAAGCAAGCAACCCCCTCTGCACCCTCAGCCCCCACTGCCAGTAGCAGCGCCGTTGGTAGAGCTGACAGGGCATAAGGCGAGCAGGTCGGTTCTGTGCGCGTGCGGCGACAGGTGCTGGACTCCCTTTCGCAGGTGGACCATATATGCACCGCTGGGAGTATAGACTCGACCCTCTTTTTCCCTCTCATGGACTCACCACCCCAAACACACGAACTTGTCCAAGGGAGCTTACCCTTGTACTACCGTCACGACACACAAGCTCCAATTTTCTTCTATCTTCCATTCGTGCGCAGAAAAACCTGAACGATATAGTCTCGAAAGTCTGATCTCTGATTGAAATTTCTATTATTGATATTAAAAATGTTGGATTTTGTTAAGTAGTGATTTTGGCCTTCTTTACATCAATAATTCTGCAAATATGATTGGACAGTTGCTATTGCCTACGAATTTAGAAAATTCAACAGGAATTAAAATAAATGTAAAGAAACGTGAGATAGATCCATTATTGCTATTGATATTTCATCGCATCGAGTCATTAACAATACACATAAATCTATATAGAATGTTCTTAAAAATAAAGAAAAATCGGTACTTAGATATTGTTTGCATTTGGTGCTTTAATCTTTATAGAAAAGATATTATAGTTATACATCTTAAAAAATACTAATATTGTGATTTTGCTATCAGTACCTAGTTATTATCTTTTACGTGCAAGATAGCACGTGCTTATTGATTTGTAAAAGTACAATTCCTTTTTTCTTACTATCTTATTCCTCCTACTTCCAGTTCAAGGGCATATGAGTTTCAAAAATCTAACTATATCTGAACAAAACTATAATTATATAGGTTTTCAGTTTCTCATATTCGACGAATTTTTATAGTAATTCTGTTCGATTAACAAACACTGAAGTTCGCAATCGAGTCATTAAAATAGTTATTTCATAAGTACAATTTCTTAAAATAAGACAAATTTATTACTTGTTTTAATACTAAAAAATATCTTCTATATAGAAATAAGTTAGAAAAATAAGAAAGGAACACAATGCACTATTCTAATTTATTGGGATTATTTATTTCAGAAATTAATTGATCTGATGAAGCCATAACCAATGAATAATATTATAAAAATAATAGTTATTTTAATAGAACTATGGAAATGACAACGGTGGATGGACAAGTTAAGTCGAAAAGAAGTTCGGGGGTGTGGCGTTCACTTGGCCAGCTTGGTACAGGTACGCTCCATTGATCGAATTGAGGAGGCAGCGACCGGGTGGCTAGCCCGCAGAGAAAAAGAGAGAGGGAGAAAATAACTAAGTAAATGTTTGTGTATGAGAAAGAAAGAGAGAATGGGAAAAGGACAGAAACGGGGTGGAGAAAAAGAGCCGCGGCCATTCGAGTGGGACGAGAATGGCGCGGAGATTCTTTCGTGACTCTCTCTCACATCATTGGTCGTCTTCCTCTCCTTCCCTTTCCTCTTCAACAACGTTCGTGAGATTGACACTGGCGCATAGAGAGAGGATGATGTGCGCGCGCGCACTTCACCCTGCTTCTACTGGGCGTTATCCTGACGGAAAGAGGGATGGCCGATCATCCCCTGACACGCACCATTTTTTTCATTTACAATCAAAGGAATATACTATGTTTTTTACTCCTTTTCTATTAAAAATGACAAATTTTGTATGACAAAAGAATAAAATTTTAAAAGCAAAAAGTAGAATTAAGATTTTAATGGATGCAAATGATATGCAATAATCAAAAGAAGTTTAAGGTATTGTATTTCTCGGATATTATTAAGTTTATAGGCATAATAAAATGTAGTTTATTTTTTCTCTTAGTTCATTCTAGAATGATGAATAGGCAGAAAAATGTTATCAAATTGTCTATTAACATATTCTAAGTCTGTTCATATTCATCTACAATAAAATTATTGAACTAACCTTGCTTCAGAATCATGAGAAAAATAGCCAATATTATGAAACGAAAAAACCACGACCGTAACTTTTATTCTGCAGTTTTTCAATTGCACATTATCTAACCAGTGCTCACGTTTTTTGGGATTTATTGAAGAAGAAGATAAAAATAGCGTAATGATGTGAACGTCATCGGGAAGTTTAGATAACAATGAATCCATAATCACAGATTTACACGAAAATATACAGGATTAAATTTTCATTTAATTTAAAACCTTTTTCTTAATCGATAAAATATTTAAATATCATAAGATATTAAAATATCAAGGCCAAAACTAATCAATTTCAATATATGAAATTTCATTGGAACTTATGATTTTCTCTCTCCAACGAAAGAAATGAATGAAAAATTTCATAGTAATCAGTATACTACAGTAAGTATTGTGGCTTATCATTACACTATCAAGGTAGCAATTAATTAAAAGATAGAGAGAGAGAGAGAGGGGGGAAAGAAAGAAAAGAAAAGAAGAAGACTATTGGGTGAAGATACCTCTGTGAAAATCTATCCGCAACGTCCAAGTATTGTAAAAGTATCTTCGCGTTACGATCAATAATCTCATGGGAACATTCGTTTCCCTGCCGCTTTTCCCAGGTGTGGGCAACTCTGTATGGTAGCAGAGGGCCAGCAGCAGCAGTAGCCATCGTCAGTATCAGCACCGAACACCTGTCATACTTCATTTCTACTTATACCACTAACATCACCACTACTGTCAGTTCTTTTTCCTCTTCCTCTTATTCTTTCTCTACCACCTCCTGCCGAGCAGCGTCAGGCTGTGACTCACTAACACCTTCCGTTCTGGCTGTTATCCACCACCAACGAACAACACATCATAGTCCCTCATCGCTACCATACATTACGCATATTTACGTACCCCTTACAATGTAGCGTGTATATATATATGTATGTGTATATATATGTGTATGTATGTGTATATATATATATATATATATATATATGTGTGTAGGTGTGTACGACAGTTCTATTCACGATCGCAAAGCTTTTCTTGCAAGAAGGGACCACCCCGAAGAGAGCGGTTCGGTGCACTCATTAATTCATTCGTTCGTGACGCTAATGCGAACACGTTCCAGAGAGAAAGAGAGAAAGAAAAAAGAGAGGACGAATTGCATCATTCATTTTGATGCGATTGTGTAAGATTAAATTCTTTTTTTTTTATATTAAAAAGAATCACAATCTTTGTATCTTTTTTATCTTATAATGAGCAATGCTTTAAATGGAATTCATTTTAGTAGATCATATAAGCTATTTTATTAGAAATATTGTTACGAATTTTCTCGAATTATTAATAAGTAATGATTGGACTTTTTCAATGGATGAACTGTCTTTTTTGATTTTTATTTTTGAAAATTCAATCCTTCCTTGAGCTTTCTTTAAGTAAGAAAGAAATGAAGCGAATCGAAATCTCCTTGAAGCAGGGAGAGAGTCGATCGACTTAAAAGTTGTTCTCTCAGAAAATAGTTATAGGTCATTGCAACAATGATGTGGACGTATTTCAATGGACGATTTAAAAGAAAAGATAATACTGAACAGTTACGGTTATAGACACTAAACGAGGATAGTTTCCGGGAGGGCGGAGGTGCTCACATAAAATATTCACAAGAATTGATTCTTTCACGACGACCACTAGCGGCCAGCAGCAATGACAATAGCAGTAATAGCAGTAACATCAGCAACTAATAACCGTCAGCATAATGATTATCCCAATAACTAAATAAATACATAAAATTACTTTACCAATTTTCTTCCAGATGATTTTCTACTAGTCACAAATCTATCTGATATTACTGTTTATTTCTGCGTTTTATTTAAAAACTATCAATGATGGCTATTTCCTGATATCCAAAGCTACGTTAAAAGTTCATTAAAGAACTCGTATGAAGTATCGAATAATAATAAAAAAGTTAAAAAAATTTCAACACTTTGTTTAGTGAAACGACGAAATATAATAAACAAAATATATATACCCTACAAAATTTGATTTATTATAATTTGTGAATTGTACAAATTAAACAACGAGACGACTTATAGTAACAATAAGATTTTTAAAAATATGTAATAAAAAATTGTCAGCTTACTCACCGAGATTCTGATATCTAGCTGATTACGTTGATGGTTAATTTCTTCTTTAACTTCATAAAAAATCGTACACGAACAGATAAATCTTTTTTTTCAAAATTAAATCATTGAGAATCAAAACTATGAATTACAATAAAGAAACGTCAATTTTGTTGCGTATCCAATATCCTGAGTCAAAAACGAAATTGCACTCTTTACAGCTCACCTTTGATACTCGATCGATCATCGTTCATCGATTATTCAAAAATATAGATATAGAAAAAGAAAATAAATGTTCAAATTGTACAAGAAACAAAAAAATCGAATAGTATCGGTTGAATTCGAACTAAAAACCGTTTTGATCAGTGACACCTGCACTATCGACCATCACTTCCACCGTTCTACCGCCATCTTCTTACCTGTAAAAACGGTACCACCGTAGCAGGTGTACTACATCTGCGCGCAAGGAAGTCCTATCGATTTTCATTTGTGCTTTTCTTTGCCATAGTTTATACAATAGCGGATTACAACGAAACAAACAACATTTTTAACACGTAAACATATAAGTCGCCAATAAAAAAGAAGTTGTACGTAAATTTGACAATATAGTAACTTCAAAGGATATTAGTTGTTATTAAGATCTATCATTTATTTTAAATTTGAGTTAATTTAATGTAAAACAGAAATAAAAATAAAATGAAATCAAACAGAGCTCACAAGATTACAATTATCAAATTTGCGAGTTATTCAACCAAAGTTTGGTTCAATTTAGTTTGCAAGGCTATAGATAAGAATCAAGATTCACAGCTGAACCCGCAGCCTTTCTTTGCGAATAATGGATTATTTTTATCGGGAAGATATACGTAAAGGTGCAAATTACCAACATACGGGTTACATCCGCAGATAGATTATATAGTAACGAAAAAAATGTCATTCTACTGCGAGTGTCAATGATTTATTTCTTTTGCATTACATCACTCCTACCACCGCATTTAAAGTTTATACTTAAACCTGTCCTAAGAAAACCACCATCAATAGGGTAGAGTAGGCACCTTCTTCAGTACCTCTTTGATGAATTTAACTTTTATATTATTCTCCGTTGAGCTCGTTACGCTCCTTACAAAAATCGTGGAAATGAAACGTTAGGCGAGATACAATTATATGTATATACACACGGTTATATCTATCAATATATTTATATGTATATACACATACGATCCGCAATGGGACCGAGCGAGAACCACGGCATTGCCAGGAGGAATGAGAATTTCTTTCGGAACACAGGCAAGGCATTCTATGACCTTTCGCTAAGGGTGGAAGTTCCGGAGAGAAGAATAGAAACATCCTCACGTAGTGATACACTTTCGTGACACGATGTTAACAAATTTTAAATTTGTCTTCCATTCGATAAGTTACTTACTGATAGAATGGCAAGTAAATTGTCAAAACACCATTACTCACTATGCGTAAGAATACTCTTTGCGACACGGTATAGCTCTAAGCAAGGTAGTGGCGCCAATAAATATCGTCATTGATGAATTTTACTAACTACACTAAATTCGAGTGCAGTGACCCGCTCTATACAAGAAACCAGAGTGGGAATCCAAATGACAATAAAAAAGAAAGAAAACCCAATACTCCAAGGGATGTAGACATTTTCGCCTCTTCGCTTTAAGGCTGATTGGTGGTAAATGGTGTTACTCCGTTATTAGCCATATTGTCCAAAACGCCGCTGATGTACGCCGCGACATCGATCGTGGCTTCTTCCGCCTTTCTAATGAATGTATGTTCCAACAACTTATTATATTTTGGTCGTTGAGTTTCTTCCTTGATCAAACTGAGAAGCGAATACACGATAAATATGCATAATAATATCTCTTTATCATATCAGAAAACTTTATATGAAACACATACCATGTATTCACAAAGTTTACAAAATCCATTGTAAAGTGATTTCCGTTTTCGTTGGGAGACAAACGGGGTGGATCACCCTGTACTACCTGATAGAGTTGCTCGAAAACAGAGTTCCATTTTGGATAAGGAAAATAACCAGTGGCTACTTCCATTAAAGTAATACCCAATGACCATACATCGCTTCTTACATCGTAACCCCTTGCTCGCTGAGGGTCTATCCTTTCCGGCTGAAAAATTATGTCCGTAAAAATAAAAATAGTTAAAAAATAACAATTCATAAAATATACGCTTACCGCCATATACGGTCTACAACCAGCATCCCTAGTTCGTGCAATAGAGTCTACTAGTTGTCCTGATATACCAAAATCGCAAAGTTTTATATTACCACGGCGATCAAGTAAAATATTGCTAGGTTTTACATCTCTATGAATTATTTTCAATTTTTCTTTGAGGTAATTCAGCGCTTTTACAGTGGCTACTGTAATTTTTCCTAAAATACACTCAGGTATCCTCTCATTTAATCTCTCATAGATGAATTTATAAAATTTGTCTAAAGAGGTGTCCATTAACTCCATACAAATCCAACAATCTCCCTAAATTAATCATAATATGATAATATAGTTAATAATATTAAAATGAACATGTATACTATCTGTTATCAAAACAAACCTCTTTAAATAAAGCTCCATAAAACTGCACAATGCAAGGGCATTCGTTGGATTTCATTACGACCTCCAAATCCATCAATAATTGCTTCTGTTCTCTTTCATCCACTGTTGAACGTATTCTCTAATGAAAATTATGAAATATGCAAATAAGATGTCGAAATACTGTAGAAATATCAATATAATATGTAAATATAAATTACATCTTGTAATCAACAATGCTCACATACCTTCACAGCCATAACAGTATTGCTTATCCTATGTATCATTTTATTTACAGTTCCAAATCCTCCTCTACCTATTTCTCCTAAATCTTGAAGATCCTCGCTTGTAAAATCATATACCACATCTGGATTTAATTGCAATTTTCCAGTACTTTGCATAGACTGACACATTCGCAACTTATCTCTATAATGTTTTATACACATATGTTATTACTAATTTCCCAAAGTTAACAGTTTTAAACAAACTCCATAAAACTGTATTCTATTACCTTGCTTTATCAGGAAGAAAATCTTGCTGCAATACCATTGTACGTGGTCTAACTGGCAACTTAGATAGAGGCAAAGGTAGACGCGATGATCTGTAATTGTATATATTCAAATATTAATGGCTTTAAACTTTATAAGTAAAATAATCATTTATAGAATTTCTTACTACTTACACTGGCAGTCGTGCAGAGGCTCCAGTAGAATTTGTTAGAGAAGAATTAGTTGAATTGGCAAATGACAAATTGCTTCCTTGCGTTTGAAAACTTAACTTCAGTTGTCTTCTTTTCTCTGATAATTTAAAATATCAATGTAAGTATACAAAATGTATTAAAAAATAAAAGATATAAACTATATAAAATACATACCTGACATTTCATTTTGAATATCATTATTTGATCTAAAATCCAATCGTTGAAAATTAAATGATCTGCTACAACCTGAAATGTATCATACAATTAGACTTTAATTACGCAAACAAAACTATAACAAAATTATAACAATGTGAAAGTAAATATACATATAGAACGATCAATTCGTATCACTAACAACACTTAGGTTAGGATTAATGCATCCTCATGGATACTCACACCAAATGCTTATAATTAGAATAAGAATACCTGAATTTGTTTGATTTGAGGAATTCCCTTGATTTTCTGCCATTTTGAAAATTTTAAATATCTAGCCGTCTTATGTAGAACCACTTGTCAAAGGCGCTCCTCTTAGGAGACCTTTCCGCAAGATCTCAACAGTCTGGCATATGTTATCTGCGGTAGACGCACCATTTGTGCAATTTCTCTATTCGAACAGATCGCACGACAATTTTGTATCTTCAATTTGTTATATATTCGTTAAATTCGCTTCACTTAACTATCTTCTCTGCTACCGCGAAACTCGCTAAATCTCACTGTGAATCTGCCGCGATCATTTGTCCACTTGTGGGTATACATTTGACGGCGTTCGCGCAGTACCGAAGGAAAAAAGCACGATTTTCATGAAAAGAATATTAATCAAGTAAATAAGAAAGATTGAATGAAAGATGAAAATAAAACGCCAATTCTATTGGTTGAATAGCCATAATGAATCATCTACTCTATTTAAAGCCGTTCTATATTGTCGACCAGTTATTGGTGACTCAGTTGATGAAAGACCAAAAACCAGGCGATCAAAGTCGACGACCAAACGAGTGGTCTGTGCATTGCTTGTTTTCATAGTCGACCAATTGGATATAAATCCATATATTCTCTTAAATCCAATTGTTGTCGATGATTCCGATCGCCAGTAACGGTTTGATAATATCCAACAGGCTTTATTCTTATGAGTAATTGTTTGTATACTTATTAACATAAAATAGCTATCGACAGAAAAAAATCCGTAGATTTACATATTTTATTTGTGAATTTTATCTATATCCTGAGTAGTTTTTTTTGTAAAATCATAATAAACTATGACAAATTGCTATTAAATGATAAATAATATAACCCTACTTTAACACAACAGAATTATTATTACAAGATATATAAATTATAATTGTATAAATAATTAATTTAAAGTAATTAATTTAATATACAATTTGTAATTGTGTAAAAATACACATATGGGCTATTATTATAATGGATATAAAACAGAAAATTATACAAAGATTCAACGAAGAAATGGGATCAAGTTTGAAAGGACTTGATAATATAAAACATTTTCATGAGTGTCTCCAAACAGAAAAAGATGAAATTGAAAAATCTGTATGCTTGAATTTGAACAATTTAATAATTAAATATTATCAACATAATAAAATAATGAATATATGTATATATTTTATTTGTAGTTATCCATGGCATCAAGTGAAGCCCCTTCAAAAGTCAAAGCAGCTGTACAGAATGTCGAGCATATTACTATGGAATTTGAGAAATTACAAATTTTTGCAATAGAAGTTCACAATAATATTCAAGAATCAATGCAAGAAAATAGTGAAAATTCAGAAGTACAAGAAGTTATTGATAAGATAGGTCAGTTGGATAAGTGCCTATCATATCTAAATTTTATAAAATGTATTGAGGATATCAGGTAATAATAGAGTATAAAAATAAGTTATATGTACATTGATATAAAGTATACTTAAATACGTTATTTTAGTGATGAAATAGAAAATTCGTTGTTATCAGCTGATGATGAATCTGTTATCACATTATATACAAATCTTTCCGAAATTAGTTGTCAATTGCAATCATCGTCTTGTCACCATCTTGTAAATTATGTGAGAGAGACGTTACATTTTTGGCATAATTTAATTAAAGAAAAATTATCAAAGTAAGTATCAGAAAATATAACATTTTCTTTTTAATTTATAGTAATAAATAATATAAATAATTTAATTATAGGGAATATAATGATGTTTTAAAAAGTTTGAAATGGCCTTTCTGTGGAACTAATGCAAACATAGTAATTACATCTTTACCTGAAACTATTACTAGATTTAAAATACTTACAGAATACCTATTACATCTACAACTACCGTATCCTTATCTTAATAAACATGATTTATTAATTACTTTTCATTTCAATCTTATCTTTGAAACCTTAACAAAATACTAGGGATGAAACTATAAAACCTGTAGTAACATCCGCTCTTCTGACTGATTTTGCATCTGTGTGCTTACCTATTACTCTACTAGTGCGCCCATTGAGGCAGAGATTTATTTATCATTTTACAGGTAGTAAATTGACAAATCGACAAGATAAACCAGAATGGTTTTTTACTCAGATACTTACATGGATCAAAGATCATGTTCAGTGGATACAAAAATTTATTCAACCTGTAGCAAATTCTATTGGCTTCAATCATATAGATGTGAAGGTATATTATTCATAACATAATATATACATGTATATGCATGTATTTAAAATAATGTATAAAAATATACTTTTTATTACATTTATTATTATAGATAACTGTAATTGATTAAATTAATTCTATTAACATACTTATATATTAGGCTGAATTTATGCGTGCATTGGTACAATTGGCTGTTGAAAAATTGCATTCCGAATTAGCAATAGCACAGCACGATGATGCTTTATTTGCTCATTTAATAGATGAAGCTCTTGGATTTGAAAGAGAACTTAGAGAAACATTATTATATCCATCTTCTCAACCAGCTACTGTATTTATATTAACACAAGCTCATATATTTGTAAAGTGGATTAATATGGAAAAAAAATGTGAGCAAAATTTACATTTACTTAAAATTTTATGTTAATCATCTAAGAAATTAAATATATTTAAAAATATATTTTATTTAACTATGCAACAGATGCCACAGAAAAAATGGATGCAATATTAAACTCAAACACAGCCTGGGAAATTTTATCAGGACCCGATGTAAATGACATGAAAGAAACAGAATGTGCCAACGCTTTTCTTACACTTTTAACAACAATCTCTGATAGATACAAACATTTACCTCAACCAGGACACAGGTACATACACATAATATTTAATATCTTTTGAAAAAAACGTATAGAACTGAGTAATATAAATAAAGTATTCATATAGATTACAGTTTCTTGAACTACAATTAGAATTAATTGATGATTGGAGAGTAAGATTATTACAATTATTACATGAAGATTGTGTAGATCCATTAGCATCTCTTATGCCACGTATACTCAATACATTACATTATGTTGCAAATGTTTTAGACGAATGGGGTGTAACTGTGGTATGTATACTAATAATTCAAATAAAATAGAATAGATCTATTTATTTATTAGAAAATACTGTTATATGCATAGCACTTTTTGCAACTTCATTTCTTCAAAAAACAATTTGAAGCAATAGAATGCGCTACAGATGAAGGTAAAGATGTTACTGAACATATTGGAGAAATAGAAGGAACAATATTTGATGAAGCTGTAGCTTTATTACGAAGACTAGAAAAAGAGTTAGTTAATGAAATCAGTGATTCAGTAGCTTTGGATGTGAAAGCAAAAAGTAGACCTTATAGAACAGATAAGTTAGTTTTTAATTTAAAAAAAAACACAGATACATTATATGTACAATTTCAGAAATCAGTAACATCTTATATATTATATATATATTTTTTTTTAGATGGTTTGCAATGCAATCTGCAAAAGAAGTTGCTTCACTGTCAGTAACTCCTAGTGGTTGTCCCATGTTTCAAGAATTAGGTACAAGACTCCACGTATTACATGAAGCACTTGCTTTACCATTATTTCATCAAGCTTGGAAACAATTAGCTTTTCAATTTGATCAGGTAAGAATATTGTAGCATAAACATCCATTTTAAAATAATTATATTTTTATCAGTAAATATAAGATGTATTCAATTTATAGTTTCTCTTAGAGGAGGTTGTCATGGTAAATCATTTTAACACAGGAGGTGCAGAACAATTACAATACGATATTTTTAGGAATTTGTTCCCTCTTTTTGGCCTATATATTAGCAAACCAGAATCGTTTTTCCCATTGTAAGTTTTCTCGTGAATTATAGATATGTAAAAAATATATATATACATGTAGATATAATTAAACAAAGAAATAATTATTTTCAGAATTAAGGAGGCTTGTGTTTTACTTAACATATTGATGGGATCTGCAATGTTACTTTTGGATGCACTCAACACAAGTGATGAAGATACAGCAAAGGAAATACTCGCAGATGTTGGTATTCATAAAATGTCTTCTGATGTAGCTATAAAAATAATTCAGTCAAGAACAGATGTGATCTATGAATAATAAATATGTTTTATTTAATATCTTTTGTAAAAAGTATATTTGCTATATAGATCCAAATTTTTAATATCATTTTTTTTTTATATTTTTGCAACTTTGAGATTTATTCAGCCTTTCTTCTTATAGTTGGGTGTAATATCTCGACAATTTTATTTAATGTTATTAAGATCAACACAATAACGTTATTCCTCCATTATCTGCACCTAGCAGCAATAATCGATTAAGAGGAAGTATGGAAATAGCAGTAAGGACTCCTTTAAAGGCATCGGATTTGAGCTTGGATGAAGAAAATGGAGCATTTATATCTACAGACGTATAAACACCTATCCGATTTGCTGTTGTTCCTATTATCAACCCTCGTTCATAAGTTGCCATGCAATGAACTGGCTCAGTAGTGCCTCTAAAAACGTAAAAACTTATATTTAATAATATATGATACTATATTCTATTTTAATATATTTTTAGAATTTCTATAATATTGAAATATATATATTTACTTCATATGAAACTTAAGTTTACCATCCATCGCGCTCCACACTGCAATAGTTTGGTCTAATGAAGAACTTATAATAGTTGTTTCATTCACAGCTTGCAATTGCAATATCTATAATAAAACGATATATTAAAAATATAAAAAATTAATATAATAGAATTTTTGTATATTATATTGATGAGAGTGTATTATAAAACGATACCTCACACTCATGTCCTTTCCAAGATGCTATGATAAGACCAGTTCTAATATCTAAAATAGTTAAAAACCCAGATGCTTGACCTAATGCAATCCAATGGCCACTAGGTGCAACTGCGATACATCTGATCAAACCAGTAGGATTTGTCAACACCTAATATTTAAAATGATATATATATATATATATATATATATATATATATGTATAGTAAAAAAATATTTGTATATGATTGTGTCATCACAACACTAACTTTCATTTCATTGACATATTGGAATGTTCTACAATCAATAACTCTTAAAGTAATATCAGTCGTTCCAACAAACAGATTAGTTGATGGAGAAGGACCTGCAGCTAAAGTATTTATAGGTGCTAATCGATTATTTTCTGGACATCCTAATAAAGAACCCATGAAAGGATCCCAACAGTGAATGACTCCATCACAAGTAATTGCATATCGTAGAGATTCTAGGAATGTTAATGCAAGAATAGATTTCTTGTGACCAGTATATGTGTATTGACATGATGAAACAGTACTTCCATCACCCTACATAAAAAATTCATATAAAATTAACAAGTATGAAATATATTAAATAAATGAATGCACTTGCCTGACTTCTTAAACTCCATAGTTTAACAGTTTTATCTCTGCTTCCACTCATAAAACTATTTTCATTATCTAAAACATATAAGCATCTAATACTATTATTGTGTCCACCAAAACTTTGAAGTTTTATCTGCTTTATGTTGAATGCTGTTTCTTTGTCAGGTCTTCCAATTTCATGTTCCCAATATGCTAACCAATTTCCACGTAACTGTCTCCCACTAGATAAAGAATAAATTTCCTTATTTGGAAAAATAACTGCGTCAGCTGTTGATTGAGATCGACTGTCATCTTTCTGTATTTCAAACCTATTTCCTATCACAGATATATTCCCAAAACTATTTACATCCTTGTTCAAAGATTCCATGTTTTCTGAAATACTGTAATCTACTAGGCATGATGCACTATATTGCTCTGTACCCACATTAGGTGAAGATAATCGTGTTTGTTGTTCATATTCATGGCAAAGATTACGTATGTGTTGATGATTTTTAAGTATTTGTTCTATTGCTTCACCACTCATACATTTGTAAAACAGCATGTATGCTTTATGTGCAAACTCTGTAGTAAATACTTCTTTTAATTCTTCAAATGCCTAAAAATACATTAAAGAATAACACAATTTATACTTGGCTTTGAGAAATGGAAAATATTTATATAATTACTTTATTTCTCTGAGGATCCGATATATTTGAATTTTCTACAACTGGTGGAGAATATGATTCAGCAATTTCTACACTAAAACCATCCCATATCAGAGGAGAACCAGAAGAACAAGTTTCAATTATATTCCAGTCTTGGATATTACAATGACTTGTACCTTCATTAGAAACTTTTATTCTAAGCATACCAAAAATGCATATGATAATTTGTTAAAATTTTAATTCTTGTAATTATTACTAATAAAAATTAAAAAAGATAAAATACTTTACCTCACGCCACTATCGCTCACGTGGCAACAACTTGAATCTTTTATTCCAAGATCATCTGACAGACATTCTACCTTAATATTTTGATTAAATGATTTATCAAATGCAAGAAAAAATCGTTGTATTGGAACTGCTAAGTGGTTTTTCGTAACAGCACTACCTAATCTCAAGCTTAGCATGATCATAGCTTCTAAACATTTATCAGCTAAAGCTGTACGAGCAACAATTCCATTAGGAAAAGTAAATCTCGTAGTAGATAATATACGAACAGTAGGATGCAAAATTGCCTTAACAATGGATTCCTATATTTTAACATAAAAAATAATATAATTACGTAATAATACATCCCATTCTTAATTACATCATAGAATATACTTTACATGAAGCGCGTCCATTAAGACAGAATCGCTTAAGTATTGTGTGATATGATTAAGTAAGGCTAAACAAGAAAGTAGTCCACCTTCCAAACTTTGTGTCAATTTTCTTTTACATAATGTTAAAAGTTCTGCCATATGTGCAAAATATTGTAGAAGTATAATCTGTTCTCCATATAATCCTGTCAAAAGAAAATGTTTCGATTAATTAGTATATTAATTTAATTATTATTGATGTAACCTATTTTATTGCAATATGTTTGTATACAAACCTGCAATAGCAGTTAAACAGTCTAATACTTTGGCAGCATTATGATCACCTACTAAAATCTTTTTATTCCAATCCATTCCTTGAACTGACGTTAAGATAACTTCATTTGAAGGTGTTAAGTTTTCTTTGCCAGCATAACATAAAGTAAGCATTCTTAATAGATTTCGTGATAAATACCGAGCTGTAAGAACAGGTCCAAGACGATGAGACAACCATATTACGGACTCTGCACTTATTTCTGATACTGTACATTCATTTGGTACAGATCTTTGATATGCCTGATCATACTCATTATCAGTATTATCTAACACTGCTGTATTAGACTTATCATCTGTGGGTTGAAGTATAGGATTTTGTTCTTCAAGATATGTATTACAAGCATTGTCAGAAGTATTATTTTCAAAATGTATAACCCCAGATATTTCATTATAAGGAATATCTTCATTGGAAGTTTTACTTCCAACATCACATCCTATGCTATTAACTTCTATCATAAGCTTTCCACTTCCTGAATGTTTTGGTATTGGAATTGTTGGTGATTTAGTTGAACTAGGTGGTGATACTTTGTTATCTTCTTCATTCAAATCATCATTAAGATTCAAATTTAGATCTATATGTAAATCAATATTATACGAACGATTGATACTCAGAAAATTCCATGCATTTCCTTCTGTTTCCATAGCAAATACTTCTATAAAATAATTCAATATTTTTACATTTCATATCATCATTAATAGAATACAAACTAATAATTAAATAAATATTAAAGAACAAATACCTTCATCATTATCATTTGCAGATTTTATTTGAGAGGAGTAATCATTGGTTGCAGGTGCAGATGAAGATATATTATGTTCTGAATCTGCAGAAGAATCTTCATCTAAAGGTGATAGAACACCTTCAATATCACCACATGTTCCACTTAGATCACAACTCCTTTATAAATATTTTTATAATTAATTAAATTTGTATCATTTCAGTAAACTTAAAAAAATAATTAAATACTTACTTCAAATTTCCTGTTCTATGCACACTTATACATGATCCTTGAACATAGTCTCGATAACCCCCTACTGCTTCCACAAGTGGTGTAATGAAATTTTCTAAGAAACGCCGCAATCCTAATCTGACCATAAGTATTAGTAAAAAACTTCTATGATATAATAATGTTGTTCGAAATTTCGCAAGTGTTCCAGCATGTAGTATATCTGCATGTAATGAATTATCCATAACAGAACCATTTTCATACAATTTCATTATAGGTAAAAGAAACATATCTGCTGTTTCTTTTGGACCCAATGCCCTGGAATATATGTATATATAAAATATAGTATACAATTTTTATCAATTTACACATTATGGAAAATATTGAACTACCAATTTACAGAAATTACACTTACTTAGCAATTGGATCGAAAAGATGCCAAGTAGCCAAGACTGCACTGTATGGTTCTTTTATAAGTTGCTGTATATGAGGTACTATTAATTGTAAACTTCCTTCTTTAGCAGCACCAATATGTGGTAATAATTGTTCTAATTCTCTTGCTATTGCTTTCACTTTACATTCACTAATTTTACAAAGATATCTTATTTTTGTCTTAGTTACAAAATCTGTATCTTCAAATTTTAATACAAAGTTTAGTTCACGAACCAAACTATTGTATTCTTGTATCATCTCAACTATATTATACAAATATTGGCAATATTTGGAAAATGGGAATAGGCTACCGGAAAGTATAGGCTGCAAAAATTGATGAGCAGATGGTGGTGGCAGACCCATATGTGTAATAGTTGGATAACGAAAGGACATCTCATTTATCTAAATAAAAATTATACATAAAATGTAATATTACTGAAAAAAAATTAAACAAAATTTTTTAATACTCACTTCTGTACTTTCTACGTTATAACTTTTTGGTACAACATCAACTTGTAGAAGTAAAGCTACAGCATTTCTTATGCATTTTGGTAAGCTATCTGCAGATAATTTTATAACATTTAAACATGCACTTAATCTTCGTGCAAAAGATAATTTTTCAATATTCCATGTAGCTCGAAATTTACCAGAAAGAAATATTTCAACAATTAAACAGCCTAAAATTTGTTGTTCCTTTATACGACCACTGGCTACAATTTGCTTAAAATTTATAGACAAATCTTGTGAGCCTATTATAGGTTTGTAAACTTTATGACTGGTTTTGTTTATAAAGGTATGCATTATTTCTACATGCTGTATGGCTGCAATAGGATTGTAATCCTTTGGAAGGATTATTATTTGGTTTGAAGTTTTGTCTGATTTAGTATTATCTTCTACTGTAAGAAGAGAACCTCGAGAACGGCTTAAAAATCGACTTAAAGCTAAAGGTGAAGATCGGGATGTATTTGATATTGTTATTGGCAATTCTTCTTCTTCTAATCCAGAGCTATGACCTTCATCATCACTAGTTTTACCTCCAGATGAATCTGTTTTTATAAATTTTATACATTATATAATATATTATTGTGTATTCGTGTATATGCGTTTATAATTATAAAGATAAAACTACTTATTAAAAAATCTGAAAAATAAAAACTTACTTTTACTAGTTAATAAAGATGAACGTAAACGGGGAGGTACTTTTCCCCAATATGGAGATGGCATAATTTTTTGTGGATGAGGTTGAGTAAAAAGTTGCACGATACCAGAATTTGTCAAAGTTGTATGATTATCAACAAGTTGTAAACAAACGTTCTTTGATTTTACCGCTGCAGAACCAGATAATCTATTGAAATATATATGTTATTTATTGAATGTTTCGTAATACATAGAATGATTATAAAAATATAAAGATATTTTTACTTATAACCAAATGTTAGATCTATCCAATGATGTAATCTTTCTGATACATAAAAACTTTCCAAAGCTTCCCTATGTTTTTGGATAAAGTCTTCTGGAGAAGTTGCCCAAGCTGGTATTTCTAAATCTGGTAAATCTTCGTGAATGGACTGTAAAAGATAATCATGTTCACAAAATAATGACAATTATATTTATTTGATACTCGTTCAAATATTGGACGAGTTGGAAAGTTAAGCTCTTTTTAAATTTACCTTAAAAACACTTGCATCAATAAAAAATTGAGGAATACACTCATCTGGACTCCAATCATGTAGTCTTTGAATTGATGCAGGATATTCTCCTGGTACCCATAATGGTCGTACGTGTTTACAAAGAACAGATTTATCGTAACGACGGGACAGGTATACATAATATGTGATTTCCGACAGTACATCCGATACATGATGTCCTACCTAAAAAATGTATATTTTCATTTATCTTCTACTAAAAAAATCAATATTTATATCTTCTTTACCTCAGTGGATTGTGAATCAAATGTAAGATCTAATTGCCTATCTCCTTTGTTTAATCGAAACTTCGATTTGGTTAAATCTCTCCAATTGCCACCGCATCTTGATGTAAAATCTGTTACCCAAGGCATTACATGGTGACAACTAGGATCACCATACTTTCTACCTGCCAGATTGTTAAGAGCAGTTAAATAGTCAAAGTTGCTGATGTAGTTATACACCCACATTTCACATAACTTCTTAATACTCTCATTTATACCAAATTCGGGACTACCATATTGTACATTTTTATATAAATTTAAATCACGCTTTTTATTATACAAATTGTGATTTTTTTCTTTAGTCATTTGAGTAGTAATAAAATTTATACAATCTAGTTTAGGTTTAAAATAGATATTATCACTTAACTTTGGTAGTACCTATACATATATAAAATTAATTATTGTTTTTATAATATAGTTTTTAATAAATGTACACTTAATAAAAATATAAATATTTCACCTGAATAGTAAAATTTTCCATAAGCAAAATATCACTAAGTGTCACTTCACCTAATACTAATCCAAGATCATGCAAATCTCTAGATAATCTTAATAGTTGATAAATTAAAAACAGTGGTTTTCCATGACTTGTACTCAAGGCTGCTGGGCTATACATTACACATCTATAATTTATATTAGATTATATTATAATTGTATTATTTTTGCATTAAATTATATAAGCATTTTTATATAAATACTTACTCTCGTAAAGAATATTTTGCAGTTTGCTCATAAAAAATTATAAAAGCAATAGTTGTTTCGATAGCAAAAAGTGCTGGAAGAAGATTGCAATGAGATTCAGTTGTTAGGCCAGATGATACTGAATAAACTACCCTATCTTGTACATGTACTATACTGCAACCATATACCCTTGCTATTACTTCCTGCATAATAGCTACATCAGATATATTAGCAGTTACAATAGATTGTTCTTTCTGTTCAATAGTACTCCATGGATCTGCTCAAAAATAGAAATCATTATCTTTAAAATCTTTGTAAACAAAATATCAAAATAATAATCATAGACTAAATATATCGAAAAAAGTTTAATTTTAAAAAACATACTATAATATTTTTTGTAAGATTCTTTCCACAAATTGCGATAATTGGTTTCTGAAAGATAATGTAACAACTGTGAAAATGTCAGTTCTGTTTGAGTTTTGGTATTAATAGTACGTCTTCCTCTAGGTAGAGGAATAGCATTTTTATGCTGTTTTATATAGACCTAAAATTGAAATAAAAACTTAAATTTGTTCAAACAAATATATATGTAGGAGTAAAAAATAAGTTAGTAAAAATACTTTTGCATAAATTCTTGTCCAATCGGATCCCAGTTCTTCTAATGTAGGTTGTGCTGCAATTTCATCTGCTGTAAGTTTATCATGGGTGATAAACGATATTGGTCCAACAATAAAAAAATTTGCCAACCAATTTCGATGTACTGTCAAACTAATTCTGTCATCTACAACTTTCATATATTTTATTGGCACATCAAATTCTGTCTTAATAACCTCCATTTCCATTATTCTTATAGTACAAATATCATTTCACTCATTTTTGTATTATCCATCCATCATAAATTATTATTTCCTTTATTTTTACTGTCCTTATGCAAAAATATACAATTCACATTTTTATTTATTAATGTTTTTAGAGGATCGATTTAATGTCAAAGACAGCTGATCGTGAGAAAAAATTGTAATCGTTCAAACTTATACTTTGTGAAATCTTTTATGGTTTATGGACGATTACATTCATTTTCGATCTTCTGTATTTGAATAATTATATATCAATCGATTTTATTATCGATACACCATGAAACGAAATGAATGAGAATTAATTTTTATACTGTATACATAAGAAAGTTTTCAGAGGACTACCACACTACAAAAAATCAGTCATGGGTCAATAGAACAAAGAAAAGACTGAATATAGACTACATTAAAAAAAAAAATTTTAAAGGACCGATAATATTTAAACAGTCGTGTTGCTCCCTGTTTTTTTTATCTCTCGAGAACAATTGTAATAATTTTTCGACAATTAATTGGTAGAACAGGATCAAGATCCTGTTAAAGAAATAAAGATTCAATAACTGTTCATCATAAACATTTATTATCCAATAAAAAATTAAATGGAAATAATTATTTCAATATTTGTATTATAAAGTTGATTAATAACAATGTACCGTCCAAGAATAATATAAATAGTTGAAAGTTTGCTTTACTTGATTAATAATTAAAATTATGAGCAACAAATAATTTAAAGTCAAATTTATCTTTATAGATGATACATGACAATTTCTGATATCAAAAATTAGTTATTCACAGTACTTCAATAAATAAGCATCGTGTGACACTTGCAGCAATTATTCAACACTTTAAACAATCAGTATACTACACTATCATACATAAAAAGAATAAAATAAAGAAATTAAAATTCAAATGCAATAATAAATCGTAATATTCTTTAACAGAATGAACTATATGAGCTGTTTCTGATTGGTTATATAATGTTCCCCCGGTGGTCATGTATCTTATGAATTTTGTTGCTAGTAGCACTACAAACATATTACAATGCCAATATTGGTAGAAACTAGAATTATGTTCTTTCAAAACATATTCAGTAACGTATCTACAAAACACAATATCCCTTACTTTCTTTTTAAAGTTCGAATCTGTCATTGTCTCATATATATAGAACTTTCACAATTTAAGGTGCGGCATGGAATAGAGTGGAAAAATACAATATTCATTCAATACGTTAACGTGTCCATCAAGCGTGATTCGTTGTAATTCAATACAGTCCAAACTTTACTTCGTAATGATATAATGTCAACGTAAAGACGTTACGATTGAGATTCTATGCGTTCCAAATATAAAATTTCATAAATCTAGATCATTTCACTGGTATGAATTTAACGTTCAATGACCGCGTTCCTGAAAATTTTAAATAAAAGAGCGGGAAATCCGAAAAATAGTATAGAGTAATCAAACTATTGCGCTGCATGTATTACGTCGGGTAAAATAAAAAGAAAAAAATCCAAGATTTTCGCAATTGGAATTCTGTGATGTGTGGTATCCGATAGGTTGCTCGATTCAGTGAAGAAATAATAAGAGTGAAGAAAACAGATTGATGAGAGCTTTTTACAATATTCTTATATAACAACATGATTTTAAATGTAATGATAATAAAATAGGTAATAAATAACAAAACGGATTGGAGACGATTGATCTATGATTCTAATCGATGATCGCACGAAATCTAACGTAAAAAGAATTACTAATATTAATGATCTACAGTAAAAAGTTATAAACAAATGTTATGAATAATTCACATAATAATGAACTAATCTTTTCGAGTGAAAATGAAGTGTTTCAGGATTTTCTTCAAGCATACTTGGCATCCGCAACAGGTGAGACCAACTTATATTAAATATTTATTACTATTTAACTTCATATTTTATTTTTGAAAAATTGTGAATGATTTTTTTGTTAGAAAATATATCCTTCGATTAAAATAGTTTCATAATTCTAAAGCCAATAAAATTCTTATTATTCTTATAATGATTATACTGAACGTTTATAAAGTAATTTATCTGAATGTGTGTGTGATATATAACACACTACAAGGCCACCACAAAAAATTTACATATGCTAAGTATTTACATATATGTACATATATACTTTTACCACGAATGTTTCGTCGCGAACGCATCGTTACGACATAAAAAAACAATTGGTCCAATCGTTTTGGATCGAGCGTTTGACTTAGATGCAAAAATAGACGGTACAATTTTATTTACAATAACGTTATTGTAGACACGCAGCTTCCAAACGATTCTATATCGTGGAATTTTCTCTTTTGTCAACCAGTTAATCTCTAATTAATTTTTCATCCTCGGTTGAGACTGTTACACATTTATTAGAAAAAAATATTCTATATTACGGAAAAAATACACACATATACACATATTTATCTACATCTAATCTTATACATATACATATGAAAAAACATACTTGATAAAGGAGTACTAGAGGTCGAGGCTGATAAGGATTAGATGACTTCTGACGGAGCGAGCACAACTAAAGAATTTTAGTTTTCGAATCACAACGATCACAACTTACAATTAACATATTTATTTGCATTCCTAGTGATGTTTTATATTTTATATATGAGTCTCTGTAAACGCTATCTTAAATTGACCTCAGATCATAAAAGAAATGAAAATTTGATAAAAAATGTAAACATCATTACGATGCTAATAGAAATGTTTTTAATATCGTCCAATGTTTACTTTTGCCGCTCGATTAAATTATTAGGTGATTTGTAGACTATCTAAAGGATTTATCTAAATTATCGACCTTGTTTTTTATTAAAACGATGTACATAGGTATGTAAAGCGATATAAAACTAAGGAAGATATCTATTGTGATTTATCCTATTTTGTGATCACATGTATATATATTTGACAAAAATATGTATATATGTTTATACTCCAGAAGAAAATGATAAAAAACTTCCAATGAATTATTAAAATTTATAGATCGATTAATATTTAGCACTATTTATGTGATATAAATAATGAAATATAATATAATATAAAAAAAGTCTTATCATTCTTTTTCGAAGTGTATATTCATTCTGTATACAGACAATAATAACATGTAGAAAAAATACAAGAAAAATATGTAAAAACTACAAAAGAAAAGACACAAAATATAGCATCGAACAAAAAAAGATCGAATTCATTTTGACATCATTATAGAACTTAAAAATTAATATCGAATTATTGTCAACCTTTGAAGATTCTTATAGTTATAGCGAACGTAACAAGTTACCCAGTTATAAATTTTCGATAACATTCCAAAGTATCAGTAGTTTAGAGATGTATACTAATGCATACTTATTCGCAGTATAGTAATACAATAAAAATAGTGAAAATATTTGAAATCCTAAGGTTACGCGAATTGTTGGTGTTGGACATCATAATTTTAAGTATGCATATTTATATATATTTGTTTCCTGTTTTTAATTTCCTTTTTTTGTATTTTTTTTATTTTGATTTAAATATTTTCTATTATATGCGAAATTTATTTAATGGCGCATAAATGTATAATAATTATAATCAAACTTTTAATCGATTTAAAATGACTTCTTCGTTGGTACATAATTTTGTTAACAGATGATGACAATGTCGTCATCTAAAACTGGGTGGGATTACCCATACTTTGACCCGACTGAAATAATGACCTCGGTCTATCAACCAGCATCAATTCCAGAAGAAGAATTTCTTCCTCGAAAAAAACAAATACCAGATACCCACGTAATCCGATTTCCTTCTTTCATTTATGATTCTTAGAATATCATTGGGAATTGCATTTTTGATCGATACTCCCGTAATATTGTCATTGAAAACAAAATTTTTTTATACATTTTACTTGTTCTATTTTTGAATTGCAGCGTATCTTACAAAAAAAATATCATTCAGCAATAGCTGAACAATAGTTTAGATGTCTTTTGTAAAAATCTATAAACTTATTAAATCTATAAATCTATAAACAGATGTAAACACCGCTTTCAATCTCTCGCAAAAAAAATAAAGAATTTATATAAAATATATATCTAACAAATGGTTAAATGTTAACAAATATTTGCTTTTCTTTCACTTACAGATAAACAACAATAATTCGTCGATATTTGAAGAAATGAAAACGAATGTTCGAAGTACCAATGTAATGGAATTGAATGAAGTGGATGTGATCGCACCGAAGAAGAATGTCGCAACGTTGACTGTTGTGCAAGCAGGAAGTATACCATGTCAAAATAGTGGTTGCAGAAACTGGGGAACTCGTGGTGTACCTGAAAGTCCCTGGCATATACTTAAAACGATATTTCTTGTTTCTATTATTGTTACATTAATTATATGGGTAGTGATTTATGCACTGCTAGCACAATATCATATATTCTGATGACAGCGTATCTTCAATGCATAAAGGAACAGAATAATTAAACCGTGCATGGAAGAAATCAAAATCGAATTATGCTCTTTGTACGGAAAAGTACTTACTTTATACAGTCCAAAATAAATCAATCAGATGTATGTTTAGACTGTATATGTCGATAATTAGAAATAATTATTTTATGTACTTATGTACTCACATCAGAGTTATGTAATCACATAACTTATTTAATGTAGTTAGATTTTAATATAATACTCACCAATGATTTTGAAATATTAACTTTTTATAATTATTGCTATAAACAAAAGTATATCTTTGATATATAGAAATAATAAATATGTTTTATACCGGGTTAAATGGTAACGTATTAAAAAAGAAAATATTTTTCAGAAATATCTTTTTTAATAGAAATCTATTTTAATAGATTTCTCTCATGTGCTATAGGAGATTCCGTAAAATTATACATTTGTATTACTGTATATTTTACATATATGTACTACACAAAAAATAATTAATGTAATTAGTTCTTGAAAGAAAATATAAAATTTTTATAAAAATTTTCTGCATATCTGGTGATAATAATTAAAGCATAAAGGTAACACTTAAACTACAAAATTGTATTCTTCAGCTAATACAGATGTTGTGTGTCTCTGTGTATAGATATATGTGAATGTGTGTCTATATATATGTATATATGTATACATATATATATGCATGCTTAAAAAAATTGTTTCTAAAAAAAAAATGTACTAGAGTTTGATGTCACAGCGTCATAAATAAAAGTGTTATGAAGAGGTTTATATTGTTTTGTAATAAATTTGATAGTTTCTTGAGCAGCCAATCCACCTAAAAATGCAGATACTGAATGCAATTCAGCGCCACCAAATCGACAAAATTCGTGAACATAATCATCCTTTGCCAATGGTCCACATCCCCACTCACTCAACAATTTTGTAATACAAGTCTATAATATGATTAATATTGCATTTTCTCTTATAATGTATTATACGCTATATAGAATTGAAATAATATTATATACCTTTAATTTAACAATATCAGGCTCCACTTGATCATCAAATTCCCCTGGATATGAATTATATTCTGCTTGAAATTTCTCAACTCCTCTAAGTACAACATAATACACCATTAAACTCTCAGGATTCTCCAAACTTTGCACTAAAAAAGTACATATATAATGATTATATCTGATATGTATGTATAATATCCTCATATTCTATAAAAGTGATGTCTTAAGAGGATCATTGATAATAACAATGAAAGTATATTTTTATTTCTTATTACCTACCTATATTATTGGTATCAATGATTTTAGGATCATATTCATCAGCTATACAAGTTCCTCTCTCTACATAAATATCTACAGCATATTTACAAAATAATTTTACATCTTTCTCAGATATTGAATCTGAAGATTTACCCAACTGTCGTAGTAACTGCAATGTGCGTCTCCACACTGCTTCTGCATCTGCTGATGCTTGCTTATGGTAACTAGAAGTAAATAAAACCATGGTTTATACCATTATCGTTACTTAAATATTCTAGAACAATACTATATAATATTAATTAAAAATCATACATTTGCTGTAGAATTATATATTTCTCTGTATCAGCTGTCATATCTGGCAGAGTTCCTTTTAGTGGTAACAAACCACAACCTTCATTGTCAATAAAATCTCTTACTGCTTTAGCAATTATCCAAAATGGACTGCTCTAAAATATATTATGCTGTCAGCTTAAGTTTTTTAATTCTAAAATTTAAATTAATAGTATGTTTCAAAGAACAATTTTTTAATAATACCTTTGCTGTTAAATTAATACAACATTCATCATTTAAAATATTTTTAATTCTATCAGGAACTTCGGTACAACCCACACATGTATTTACAGCTTTAATTGCTTCTTCAAAATTTTCTTCAGTATTTACTGTATCTTGTTCATCTTTTCTCATTCCTTTTCTTATCATTTCTCTCAATAGTTGCTTATCTTTATAAGTCTTTGGCAAACTTCCATGATTCAAAATCCACTTTGATAAATATTTATATAAAATAACTACATATGGTATATGAGTATGATCTTTGAAGCTCAATGTGTCAAGGTCGATAGAGTCTAAGTGCTTTTTTAAGGTTCCGAAAGGTTTATCTAAACGTAAATCTGATGTTTCATTATCTGGATGTGTCTCTACTATAGTATGTTCTTTCACTTGAATTCGCATATAAGCAATGAAACCTATACTTCTACATACTATTAAAGGAATATTTAACTCCCAAAGTCGTCTTGATAAAAGGACTAAGCATCTAGAAAAATATATAGAAATTATATAATCAAAAAAGATGCTTTATTGAATTTTCAAGTACCTAATAAATTAATTCTTTAATAAAATACTTGCTTTTCTGTTAATGAAGTAGCAATTACTACTGTAAAGTTATTTAAAAAATCTGGACTATTATATAAAATCTGTTGTGGTTCTTCATCAATATAATCGCCTCGAACATCAGGATTTAATTCTAATAACATCTGGGTCGCAACTTGAGCCCTAGATTTTCCAATGCTATCTGCCTCTAGAAAAAAGCTAAACAAATAGATATAATAAATAAATTAAAAAAAATAAAATTTAAATACACATTATATATATCTTTCTCATACTTTGCTCCAATATCTTCATTTGTTATTTTTTTCCCATCAACAATAGTAAATGCACCAATACCAGGAAGAACCAATGATTTTAAAATTTCTGTTCCCAATCCAGTAGCATTTATAAGACAAATATGTGCTGCTTCTAAATAAGCTTGACCATGATCTCCCCATAATCTAAAAATTTTATAGAACATACAATAAATTGAATACATGAAAGTACTAAGGATAGGACATATACGATAATATAAATATATAACAAATATTATGGGTGTATATATATGTGTATATGTATGCGCAAATATAGATATTCTAAGAACTTTGAATGAATAACGAAATAATTATTTATAGTTAATTACAATAAATTTATAATTAATGAATACCTCAATTGTCGATCATATTTTCTATTTCGTTCCGACTGTTCTGGAGATTTAGGAGCTGGTGATGCCATAATGACGAATTCTTTAGTTTTTTCTCAGATTATTATCAGTGCATATGGATACAATATTCATATATATTATAAAGAACCGTAAGATTTTGAAAAATCCATTGAATTACCACATACACATACACTTTAATCTCAAAGAATTTGATAAAAAGTTGAAGAATTTAATAAGATCCTTATATAAATTTAACGTATTTTACACTCAGTATTTTAACTTATAAAAAGTTTATAAAAAGCGATCGAGGTTATGTTCGAAATATCTTTTGAAACTAATCCATAAACCAGGTTTATAAACTATGACGCCATATTTATTATATACTTAATATCTATTTGTGCAAAACAAAAAGATACATTTTTTTTATTGCTAATCGCGATAAACTACACGTAGCGACATCTTAAAGAGTCGCGCATTTAAAAAGACCGTGGCGAAACACTAATCGTATTGCATGTATGTGCAAGATACTTCAGCTAGAGATTATATGCAAATTTGTTATAGCTGCATTACAAGATTAATTACAAAAGAGGGGAACTAATAAAAAATACAAAATATAAATTAAGAAATAAATTGTATTTCTCCAATACACACACATATACACACAAACATATGATTAATATTTATTATTTATATTGTGTTATATATATATACATATATATATGTGCTATACATATTTTGTACAAAAGTTTAGAAAAACTAATTCCGACTACATTCAATGAATATGTATGTGTGTATAATGTATATATATAATATACATTATAAATAATGTACCTACAATAATTTCTACAATCACTTTCTACTAAACTAGATGCTAGTATTAAATCTCATAATAAAACACCATTATTTTATGAATACTTAACAGAGACAAACAGTTTATGATATACATATCATGTATGTATTTAATACAAGAAATTTTACAATATAGATACTATAAGCATATTAGAATCGTTTCTTAAATGTGAAATATTCTTGTGCACTTTACCACAATAAATTAGTGGTACAAAATTTTATACATCATATTTACATTATATTAAAATGGATTTAATGTTGTTAATTTCTAATCAATAGTATGAATAAAATAATTAAAATAATATAATACAATTTAAAGACTTTATCCAAAATCATGTATAGTTACTGAGGTAGAGGAGTGAACTTATTAATATCTTGTACAGTAAGCATTATTACATTCATAATCTGTCCATATAATCCAATCTATTAATATTATTTCTTTAATTATGTAATTAATCATTCTAGAGCATTTTATAGAAACTCAAAAGTATCAAGGATTACGTTTGTCTTATAAATTAATATTAATTTAAGGATAAACTTCAAAAACAAATTGAAAAATAATTTTGTGTTATATTTTAGTATTCACTTATAATATTATATGAGCTTAAATATGAATAAAGTTGATTAAATAATGAAATAGAAATAAAACTACAACCATAGAACATCTTAATAATATAATTGCAGAATATCTTTTTGGTAGAGGACTTAATCCTTGTCTTCATTTTTATCGAATTGTATTATATTAAATTGTAAAAAATTCCAAGATTATATAATGATATAAATGATGGTTACTATAAAATGGAATATAGATATACCGAAAGTAACGATTATATAGGGCCAACTGTGATGGTGCTTAAACTTATTTTATAATATTTAATAAATATTAATTGGGATTAATATTATTTATGTATTCACAAAATTCATATACATTCTAGTTTGCACATATTAACATACTGCGGAAAATATGTTTATATGTAAATCTCATATTTTTTCTATGATGTATATGCATGTATGTGTATATACAATTAGTTTACAGGCCATAAGAACTATATGATACTTTTAATGTATAATTTTATAAACATACAAAGACCCTGAATTTATATAAGTTAAGGAATCTTTCAAAAGATTCATCATTTTTAACAGTGTTTCATTCAATCTTGTTTTCGCGAACTATTATAAAATTTTTCACACTATTGCAATACTTGCATACAATCAAATAGGAAATAGTAGAACACATTTCTTGGGTAATGACTAGTGTATCAGATAACATCCATATTATAACTACAACTAAAAATAAATATATAAAATAAATCAAATTATAATATGTAAAATTAAATTCTTAAATCAAAGCTATATAAACAAATTATATCGTCATAATTTTCGTAAGAAACAAAAATATTATGCATGTACATCAGGTTCAGACTCTTTGATTGAAGAATTATAAAATAATTGCATTAATTGCAATATTTGCATTAAATATCCAACAAATAAATAATACTGATAAAATATATAAAATATACATATATTCTAAATAATTGATACTAAGTAATTAAAAGAAACTATAAATTAAATATACAAAATCAATATAATAAATACACACAAAATATACAAAATTCTAAAAATGGATTAAAAATTTAATATATGAAATTTTAGCCTAAATAATATATGAATTTTTATAAATTAAAAATAATTTTAAATAAAATTAAAAATAAATGTAAATAAAATTAATTTAGCCTAAAATGAATTTAAATAAAATCTCTCTATGTTCAATGTATGTTGACCATATGCAAATATAAAAAATTGAAAGATTTTTTAATTCATTTATCATATTTAAATTAACTAGTGATTATGTCATGTAATCAATTAATTTTTCTTAATAAATAATTTAATATCGAAAAAATTTAATTTGAAAATTTAAACCAATTAAATTTGCCAAATTAGTTAAATAGTCAATTTACTTCTTATACTTATGAACTGGCCAAAATATGATAAAAAATTCTATATATATATCCAGTATAGTATTAAAATTATATGGTTGGAATTCATAAAAATACTTTTATCCTATTTTATGACCATTACATGATCTTAATGTGGATTTGATAAAAACAAAATTTAAATAATTTAATGATGTTGTGCGATTTATAACACTCCATCTTAAATACAATAATAGAACTAACTATTTACAATATTACCAACCATGTAATTTAGTAGGCACACATTCTCTAATAAGAGAATCATATCTTTTAGTGTGCTAAATCTACTGAAACGTAGATACGTTGATATAAGATGCCACAAGCTCTGTAGCAAACTGCAGAATGTAGTTTTGGATAAGTATTCAAATATATTTTTTTGTTGGAAGTAAAACGTTAGCCATCTAGAGGTGGCCCTATGTACACCATTGATATTTCTGAATTTCCATATACTGCAGAAACCGATGGATATAACCTTTTATCTGGTAACCCTGTGCAGTTAGTTGTAAAATGTATTCTGATGCTGATTAATTGATAATAAATATAGAATGTTGTGTAATAAATTACTAAATGATTAATCGAGTATTAAAAGTAGTAACAAAAAAATCACCTCTAAAAGCTACACCTAGAAACTCATAATTCTTCTCAAATGACAATGTGTTATCATCACAGTCTAATATGACTCTAATTTTTTCTCCTATCTGAAATTAGAATAATACAGCTTTAATAATTTAATCATTTATTCCATCACTTTTTACTGATTTATTAAAATCAAATCAAAAAGAAATTTCACCTGGTATGTTGGAGCATTATTAAGTAATGGATAACTTCCTTGTGCATCTCCATTGTGTAATAAATGATTGTCAACGAGATTCCATCCCCAAGAGTGTTCATCAGAACCAAGCAGAGCTACATATCCATGACATAACAAAGGCGCCTCTTTTGTAGCTATACCTACAACAGCTACTGTACCTAAAGGTCCTTCCCATATCACTTCCCATGCATGACGTCCATGTCGAAAACCTATTTTACCTCTACAAGCATCTGTACTTTGTGCAACAGGATTCCTACAAAGATATTAAAGTAAATATAATGATTAATATAAAAAATGATAGTGTAAAAGTATAGCTTTTTAATAATGATTTTTATCACAACATAAAACTTTTTTATGAATGCTCATTTAAGCATATATTTCACATTTCATATTCACCATGACAGATAAAAAAATGAACATTTTTTGTTATTTGATGATAATTTGAAAGAAAAAATTTTAAAGATTTATGGAGCATTAACGTATTATAAAATAGCAGTAAAATAAAATAAATACATGATTACAAACAAGAAAATTTGATCGTTCGATTACAGAACATACCTGTGTAAAGTAAATCCATTTGGCTTGATATAAACATTACGTGAACAATCATTCGGATTCCAAGCATGATAAAATGCTCGAAGCTTTGCTTTGTAAGTAGGTACTGATGATAATAAATCAGAACTAAGTGCCTCTTGAGCTAATGTTCTAATACAATGCATTCTCCATACATCGTTATTTTCATCCCTTAAGAATCTATACCACCTCTTACATACCAATGCACAGTTTCTTAAAGTGTGTAAATCTAAATAAGAGAAAATCACTTCTAAGACATGATCTGACGCGTTTAATGCGATACCGTCCATTTTGCTGGTTCTCTGTTAGTAGAGGCCAGCGAGTCAGCAGAGCTAGCAAAGGAAGAAAACATTTGCTGATGATAGTGGTTAAGCGCGTTTGCCACTTGAAAATTAGTACACTTTTCATGAGGGCGCTTTGCATCTATACTTATTGTCACTTATAATTACTATTCATTAATCGTATCGAAACATTCAAAATCGATAACAAATCGACATAACTCGATACGAAAATTTTGGAAGCACTTTATTTATAGATTTATCCATGAAGCTAGAAACATATTTATAGGTTCAAAGTACATCTCAGTTTCAGAATAGAAAAGAAAAAAGAAGAAGACAAGTATTTTTGCCGTGTTTTTTCTATAAAATTCTCGAACGTATATGTACGTAATAATATACTATAAATCGTGAATATAAAGCCTTAGGTCATAACTAGGTTAAGACATTGTGATCATGACTTGAAATAATACAAACGATTACTTGGATTTCTAGATAAAGACTAGGACAGACTAGGATAATAAGAAACACTAGTTAAACGTCGCAGAGAACTAATGCTGCCTCTATTGAGTAATTATTGCAATTTTCGTGTGTTCTCGTCTAGACTCATGCATCCGCCATATCTTTACTTTTAGACAATGAGAGATGCCAATCTTCTTTGGAAATTTAATCTGTGCATAGTTTGTATATATATATACATATGAATATATATATATATATATATGAATGTCGAAGCGGACATGGCGAATTTCAGCGAGAATTCACACGAAATGACAGAAAATAACATGCAGCAACGTTGTAATATACAATGGGTAAAATTAAATGTGGGCGGAACATATTTCTTAACTTCAAAAACTACGTTGTCTCGGGATCCTAATTCATTTCTGTATCGACTTTGTCAAGAAGATTCGGACCTTATATCGGACAGGGTTAGTTCCTATTGTGAGGTTATTTAACTATGACTTATTATTACTTGTTGCATATTTTATGTGAAACGAAAATAATACATATAATAAAAATCTTTTAATATAATCCTTTTTATTGTGTTATAAGCATTCATATAAATATTATATTATATTTAAAGCCATAATAAATTTAAGGCCACCAGTATTGTGTCCTTAAATGTTTTATAACCTAAAAAAAATATAATTATATATCTACATAATTCAATTGATATTGTATAATAAATATATATCATATTTTGATCGTATAAATAGATTATATAAAAACTAGATTATTCGTGTAAATAACCTGTTTAAAAAATGGTTTATGAATCTTTGATATAATGTAAATATAATATTAACCTTGTATCGAAAAAGTGAATTGATTAAATCAATACAACTATGTGTATGGTGATATGATATAGTGACTTAAAAGATTTTTTTATAGGATGAAACTGGTGCTTACTTAATAGACCGTGATCCAACATATTTTAGTCCTATCTTAAACTATTTAAGACATGGCAAATTGGTTATCAATAAGGACTTAACTGAAGAAGGTGTATTAGAAGAGGCAGAGTTTTATAATATTACTGAACTAATTCGACTAGTTAAGGAACGTATTATAATGCGAGATACAAGACCTTTAAGAGATTCAAAGAAACATGTCTATAGAGTATTGCAATGTCATGAGGATGAATTAACACAAATGGTGTCAACAATGTCAGATGGATGGAAATTTGAACAGGTATTTAATATATAACAAAATAATTTATGATTAATTAATTATATCACAAGTTTGAAATTTTATGTTTACATTAACGTCTTTTACATTATATTATTATATTAAAGAAAATTCTATATAATATAAATTTATTACATAGTAAATTTACTTTAATAGTTATACAACTACTCTTTTTAGCTAATCAATATAGGCTCCCAGTATAATTATGGAAATGATGACCATGCTGAATTCCTATGTGTTGTGAGTCGTGAATATGGACCAAGTCAAATCAATAGCAAGGAGCAGGAATCAACTGATCGTGTTAAGGTACACTTTCCCATACCCTCTATTTAAGTTCTTGTCCTAGTCAGAATAGCTATGTACAATATAATTTGTATATTGAACGAATATTACGTTCAATATATTTCATTTTACTACAAAAACTATATGATGATTATTTTCTTCGTAGCTTTTTTATTAAATGGATATACATGAAAGACATTCATATAAATATCCTAATGTGCATAGTTTCATATTCATATGCACATTAATGAATAAAACATATTTTATCAGTATTAACTTAAGCACCTTTCTTGGAATATTTTTTTATGTATTTATATATAGTATAATGGCTAAAGATAATTAATATTATATGCAATTTTTGGAATAACACTATTTGCCTCTAATCATTTTATTTATATTATTATATATGGACATTTACAAATTTTATGTTCTATTATTTGCAATAATTAAATAATAAAACTAAAATTTAAAAAAAGAAAAAAAAATCACTTATAAAAATGAAATTGAAAATATAAAGTGAAATCTTATAAATAACATAAAATATTCATTTATATGATCATTTTTCAATAGGTTTACATATAACATTAAAATTAAGAGTTTACATGATTTTAATTTTGTTATAAAGAACATATTTTATTAATTTTTAATAGAACTGAACATATTTTTACTTAACTTTATATCAACTCAAAATTTTTTACATTAATTTGCATGAGCATGTTCTGCCTCTGATATTTGTTGTATGTATCACATTACTATTATTGTAACGCATGCTATTGATTTAATAAAGATTTTTTTCTCTCATTGGTTTGGTTTCTCTTTGCCCTGTATCCTGCATGAATTAATAATGCATGTTACAATTAGTTTATTATATATTACGCTTATTTATTTGGTTATAATATTGTTTAGTAAAGAAATTAATTATTTACTACTAAGAAATACACATTATAATATGAAAACAAATAAATAATTTTATTAATAACAAGATCATTGATTTCAATTTTAGATGTTTAAGATATTACTAGTACATCATATATATTAATTGATTATACAGTTTGTTACTTCTCTCTATATTATTGTATTTTAAAAATACTTTTTTTATTTTTTAATCGAATTTATAAGTTATATTTGCAATAAAATAATTCTGTATAACAACAATATAGCAGAGGCTGAACAATAATAATATATTATACATTATTTATATGAAAAAGAAATTTTAAATAATGCAATAAAATATCAATGATTTTAAAATTGTATAAATATTGATAAGTTCATTTCATTTAATTTTGCTTATTTCCAACAATCAAAATATTTGAATTATGGGGTTGTATTTTAGGTCTTACAACAGAAGGGATCTCGCATGTAATCTAAATCCGTCCCTTATTCCTTCTTGCCTCCTTTAATTAAATCAACTATGCAGCAAGAAGATGAAGACTGTATCTGTTTATTTAGTTAATAGTTTATTTTTTAAGATTTGTATAGTCTCCATTTGTAAGGTTTCATTTCTACATGATTGTAATGTTGCAAAAGAATAATATGCAGAACTGTAAAAATTTTAATTATATTTTCTACAGATATTTATTATTTAGCAATATTATATATGAAACTTTTAAAGTGGAAACTATTACACTTTCATTATTAATGAAGATATTTACATTTTCGTTTATTTGTTGTAATGGAAGATACTACTTGCATGGAGGATATTTCACTTACTCAATATATTACAATTTTATAAAAATTAACAATTTTAAGAGAATACCATTCTTTTTTTTAAATACATTACAGTGATTTCCTTTCAAAGGAGACATACTAGGGGTAAAATGGCAAACATGTTACTAATAACCAAAGTTATTTAACAATAGCTAAAGTTATGTTTTAGCTTTACTGAGTTAGTTTACGGACAATAGTGTTTATGGAAGTCATCTTTTTCATAAAAAATTTCTACAAAGAATATAGATATCCGTGGTAGTGCATAGTTTATTCTTTTGTATCAAATTTTTTGTATAAAATTTCTTTTTATTTGTAATTGTATTATTAGATTCTCTAAATTACTTACCTTGCACTGCCGCTACAAAACATAATGTACATGATATTTATATAGCTAGCATTATAACTTTCAGTATCTGGATCAACGTGTTAAATAGTCTTCAGATACATATTAGTATTGAAACAATAAAAAATTTTTAAAGAAAATAACTTGTTACATTATTCTCTAAGATCACAATGTTGGGCCTTATGCTATAAAACAGGTAAATATTCAAAAAATTATAAAATCACAAAAAATAATAATTATTGATGATGTAGAATATTTAGCTACATATATATTTGTCCTTTTAATAATAAGTAAAATCATTAAGAAGGTAATGAATTAGCGAAATATATATTTCGTTTTTATAAGTTTCGATTAATTTGTGACCTCGTACAATATATGTACATATACACAACATATATGATTCTTAGTAACAGTAATACTGAGAAAATTTGCAATAGACATTGTTCGTCAATTGTTCCAGGCCTATTAAAAAATCATCCTAGACAATATATGCATATTTAGAAATTAAATAAGAAAAAAATATATATATGTACCTAAAATATATTATTCTAAATATAATTAATACAATATTGTATTGAATTGGTCAATAAGTAACGTTGGAATTTCCAGTATTTTATATCTAAATAAACAACACTGTATACAGTATTTTTTACTGAACATTCAAACATATTACTTATTGACAAATCTAATATATGTATAATCCTAATATTTCGATATAACAGATCAATGACACTAGCAATAAATTACGTTTTTATTTTATAAAGAAATGTAATAAAAATATTATTAAGAATAGGTTTATTAACTTTGAAACTTAAAATCATTAAATAATTGTAATACTTTTGATAAAATTATTGATTGCAATATCAATTACTTTTGTGACAAATATATTAAGAAGTAAAACAATAATTCGTTAATAACATTAGGATCATTATTATTAATTCAATTTTTATGTATATTTCAACCAATATAACAATTTCTTCCTTAATTGAATATATCTCATTAGTTTAGTTAATGTTAATATTTATAAATTTATATAATTCTCAACCTGTAAAAGAATTTATGCGTTTATAAATGAAATTCTGAACTGAATATAAATATAATATTTAATTATTAATATGAGGGTGGTATATATATAATAATAATAATAATAATATTATTATTATTATTATTAATTATAAATTAAAATATTATTAATTAATTAATTAATTAATTAATTAATTAATAATAATAATAATAATAATAATAATAATAATAATAATAATAATAATAATAATAATAATAATAATAATAATAATAATAATAATAATAATAATAATAATAATAATAATAATAATAATAATAATAATAATAATAATAATAATAATAATAATAATAATAATAATAATAATAATAATAATAATAATAATAATAATAATAATAATAATAATAATAATAATAATAATAATAATAATAATAATAATAATAATAATAATAATAATAATAATAATAATAATAATAATAATAATAATAATAATAATAATAATAATAATAAAAAAATAAAAATAACCCTTTAATATTACTATTTATAAGAAGTGTAAGAAAAAGTAATAGCACAAAAAATATAATAAACAGAAATAAATGAATTTGTTTCAACTTAATTTTCTTATGGCAAATTAGAGCTAGTAATAAATTGAATCTTATTAAATTTGTAGAAGTTATTATATTTTATTTACATAATATATATTTGAAATATTTCACATATAATTTGATAGTATGTACTATGTCACAAAATTATAGCCTTTTTGAAATTATGTATGTATGAAATATTCCGATTAAAATAAATTTATAATTTGTATATTTAATAAATAATTACATAACTTAGGAAATATTCATATTTTGCTTTAAAAGATATGAATATTGAAAATATAAATAAAAATGAATAATAGTAGAATTTATAAATTCTATGGTAACTATGTATAAGAATACATTCATATTATTGTTAAAATATTTTGAATTTATTATTTTAATATGAAAATTAGGTTAAAATTTATATTTTTGATATTATTTTCAAAATTCACTTTAAAATACCTTTACATTAAAAAGGATCTATGTTTACATATTATCTATAATATAAAACATTATTTAATAATTTGTATTTAAATGATACCTTATACACGATTATATATTTATAGTTATCCAAATAATGCACAAATAAACAAACTAATGTAAACACACATTTTTAACAATATAGTTGATTAAGAATTAATTAATAAGAAAAAAAATAATCACTGAATAAGTATACATAATTGAATACTTATAAAAATTAAAATATATAAATCTTTTATATCTTTATAATACATGCATGCATGCATGTAATGTCACAAGTAATACCATTTTATGATCATTATTTGCACATTTATTGTTAATATAAACAAAAAAAATTTCGATTAATAAAGTTAAATGTCATTTTACAGTAACTTTAGTTTATAAAATAGTATAGTAACTTCAAATGCAATAATTATTATACATTAATGCAATTCTCTATAAATTATTATTATTGAAAAGATTATATTTATTAAACGTCATTTCAAAAAATAACTTTTACGCTTTAATATTACAATAAAGACATTATAAACATTTAATTTTTGTTCAAATATATAAATATAATTTCATTAAATTCTATTTTTAGTTATATTATATTATTTATAAAATAAATAAACTTTCATAACAAATCACAATCCTAATTATTTGTATCTTTTATTATTTAAATTAAGTAAAAATTTTATAATAAAATTTATTTATATTTAATCAAACATCTAAGATCTTTATTTTCATATAAATATCGTATAAGTATTTATGAATAATATTTTACCAATAATAAATCATAATAATCATTAAGTACAAAAAATATTAAAATATAAAAACTTATTTATTATTATATATGCTTATATACACATATAATACAAATTATAAATATTTAAACATGTATACAAATATGAACATTATTATCATGCTCTTATTATAATAGTATCTAAAATTATAATTTTCATATTACATATAAAATCTTATTTAAGGCATATTAGCAATTGTTTTCAATGGTTGATCAAGATATTTAGCAAGTGCTTGTGCTTTTTCTCTTAATAATCCAAATCCCACATTCTCTTTAGCATACAAACATAATAATAAATTTGCTACTTCTGTAATCACCACTTTGCCTTCCTAAAATTAGATATTTATGAATTTTTAATTATAATCTAAAATTATAATGCTTAGTTTGCTAATAAAAAATAATCAACTATCAAGAAAAAGTTTTAATTTATTATTATTATATTGTAGGTTTTAATACCTTATAAAATCCTATTTGTATCTATTAAGAATTATGGACTACAATATATTTGATTTTTAAGACAATTATTCAAAATATTACTTTAAAAAGTTGTCTATTTTGCATGAAATAATTTTACACAAATTATATGATTACCACGCAATCCATCAAAACAAATTGTAATTTGTCTTCTTTAAATGCATTTCTTCCATTCTTTTCATAAGCTGACCAAATGTTACTTGTAATTGCAGCAGTTATTCTAGCATCTTTATCTCCATAGCCACTATAAGCTAATAAACCACCATCTCTGTTGAGTAACCTGTAATTTTATTTATTATGTATTATTATTTAATACATAACGAAATAAAATTTACTATAATTGACTATAAGATGCAAAAATATAATTTAACAATATAATATACATTTTATTCATTTTACTTGTATAAATAGATGTATAAATATATATTATAATACACTTAACGATATTGTATATAGGTTAACAAATATGACAAAGTTTGTACTAAGTTAAATATTTAATTTACTACTTACAAAGTATTTTCAACTCCACCCGTATTCGCCTGACTCAAAACTTGCGTAAGAGCTTTTGGTTTTAACATAGCGTAGAATTACCTTTTAAAAGAAACTTATTCTGTCACTCAAAATTCAGATACTCGTCAGCTTTTTCTAATGAGTGTAATGTGTGTGTGGCTATGTGTACGTAACTATATGCATCTTCGCATTGATTCTGAAAATCTAAAAAATTGTAATATAGTTTTGTAAAATTTTGATTGGTCAGTACTAATGGAAATATATGAGAATTACCCAATCAAGAACCATTTCTCAAGAATTAATTTCTTTTATTGTATACGAATATAAATATAGACATGTTTTTATAACTAAAAATATTATATCTTAAATGTTTTACAAATAGACAGCAATGTTTAATTATAGAGATTATATACAATTTGCAATTATAAAACACTATCCACACTAGTTAATGATGATTCATATTTACTTTATCAAATTTAATAAAATTATTTAAATGACATAAATTTGTTGCATCAATATTATTTCTAAATGAATTTATTATTTACGAATATACCCTCAAATATTTAAATAAATATAATATTCTTATCTCGAACTTTATACTTCTAAAAATTTATATAAACTTTTAGTTTTAGTGTAATACAAAATAATAAATCGATGAGATTTTTTAACCATAGAGAAAAGATATTAAATAGCTTAAGCTATATTCACAAAGAAATCGATGCATTCGTTTTCTGCTTACCTCCTTGCGCTCTTTATCTTTTGTATATGCACGTTAGCTATACACACTTTTATCGAAGTAAACGTTTCGTGTTGTGCATTGTATAGTAGTGGTAGCAATAAAAAGAAGTATAAAGAAAACGGAATATACGGATCAAGTAAGAGAAATATTTACTTGCATACACTACTATTCTTCATGTGCGAATTCTGGTTATGGCTTTTTAAAAGATCTGTTACTGTTCTTTTAATATACTTTATTCTTCCATGCTCTGTATGTATATTAAAACGTCGAGGCAAAGTTACGTATAACTATTTCTACGTAATGAATAGAAATATACAAAATAATGGGCTGATTTCTTAGGTAACTACAGATATTTCTAGATAATAAGATTTTTCAAATATTTTTACTATATATTTTCGCGTAAAATAACTTATAATTTATAATTTTTTTTTAAATTTCTATACATAGAAAATATTTCTTAGTACAAGCAGTAATCTTTTATATTTTTTACTTGTTTCTTCATTGTTTATACATACATATTCTAATATTATTGTATACAATTAAATTATAATGCAATATATTATTAATTATCTATTAGATATTACTTTTGATAAAAATTGTAATAACATAAGATAATTTCATTGATATCTAATATAAAGGTAATTATATAAATCAAATTTGAAAGATAAAGTATTTTTACAATAAGTTTTAACGTAATACTATATGTTCAAAGATCATTGCTTATACTTTATACTTTGTAAAGCAAATATTAAATATACCAATAATTTTGAAATATTTATTACACTAATATTATAGGAAAATTTTTTATTAAGTCTATTTTTAATATGTTGCAGTATATATTCTGAAAGAATACTTATGAATTTTGAAAGCACATGCCAGGATAAGGATTTGTAAACTTTTATCTCCGATATCTAAGACTAGATGAAAGACTTAAATGAAAAATTATTGCAGTTATTATCTGCACAAAAAATTTCATCCCTTAAAACAAGCGATATTCATGCAAATCAACTAACATATGATACTGGTTCTGATAATGACAATGCTTCTAAAATAGAATCTAAGACTTCTGTATCTCCATTATTCGGTCATTATAGATATGACTGCTCCTTTCTTCATCATGATAATTCTGTTAATTTACCAACTTTACCCACATATTTGCCACCAATTGGAGTATTTTGGGATATTGAAAATTGTCATGTTAGTTCAAAATTATTACACACATTTATTTTATTATATATTATATTTTTCTATAATATAATACACTATAATGTATTATGGAAATATTTATTCATTTATTGTTGATTTTATAAGACCATATGGTTTATACCAAACATTTTTATTATATGTGCCTTCTGTAGGTCCCAAAAGGAAGATCTGCTATGGCAGTTACGCAAGTGATTAGAGATAAATTTTTTAGTGGTTACCGAGAAGCAGAATTTATTGTTGTTTGCGATGTTCAAAAAGAAAGTAATCAAGTAATGCAAGAATTAAATGATGCACAGGTAATATAGTGGTAATAGATTAATAGATAAAACTAGCTTAAATTAAAGAGATAGATAATAATTATAAATTTTTTGTTAAGATAAATAATCATTTTTATGTTAAATATTTTTACACTCTTTTTTATTATTAGGTTAATTTAATACATGTTGCTGCAACATGTAAAAATGCTGCCGATGAAAAACTTAAACAGTCTATCAGAAGATTTGCTGATATTCATGGTAGTCCAGCAGCAATAATTTTAATATCAGGAGATATTGATTTTGCTGCTGATCTTAGTGATTTACGATACAGAAAAAAAATTCATGTGATACTTCTTCATAATAAAAGTACCTCAGAAGCATTGATACTATGTGCTAATGAACATTATGATTTTATGGATCTTATGGAACCATTGCCATCTAGACCTTTATTAAAGGTAAGTTTACTTTTATTAATTTAAAAATTTTTGCTTTAATCAAATTAACATTTAGTTGAAATCATCTTAAATATATGAACATGCAAGTTATAATATTAGATAATCACAATAAGTTATAATATCAGCAAATCATAAATATTTTTTATAATAATTAATTCAGTTATTTTATTATGCATTTTGTAATACTGTAATATTTACATGTATTTACATAGTAAAATATGCTAACAAATGATTATTTTTTCTTAATTTTTTCTTAAGTTTTGTAGATCAGTTCTATATGTATTTAAATATATATTTATCAGGTACATCCTACTGTATCGTGCATTATGAAATATTTTCTTTTCTAATATTGTATTATTTATAATATATTATTATACTTTGTAATTATATAAATTGATATTATATATTCTCGAAATATAACCAGTAATTAGCTTCTTTTAGAATTAATAACTTTCATTAAAAATTTTTGTTGTAATGTTTGCATATATTGTAATATATCTTTTTCAGATTAGCGAATATTATGATCTCATAGTCAATAATCTTCCTGAAGATAAGGATGTTGTAGTTATTAAACGACGACTTCAAAAATTGTCTGACAATTGCGGTGGTCGAGTAATAGGAATCCAATTTAAAACTGCTATTGTGCGTTTTTCTTCAGAAACTTCTGCAAGAAGGTACGTATTTAATAATTTTCAAGCATTTGTTAATTTCTATCCTTTAATTATAAGTTTTAAATGTAATAAGAATCTAAACTATCTTGCCTCAATATTTTATTACTTCAAATTTAAATAACCCGCCTTTAAATTCCTTTCTTTGTGATTGGATCATTTTATATTTAAAAAAAAATGTCATATATACATTGAACAGCACTGGCAGAGTAGAGGCAAGGACACAAGTAAGGAAGTATTTGAATTGTAGCAAACAATGTAACGACTGTAGTATTATTCCAAATAGTTGATATATAAATTTTGTTTTGGTTATACTTTGCATTCGATTAGTTAAAGTACAGCTAGTTAGGTAATATTTCAAAATTAGTTATTTTAAGTAATGCATTGATATTATTTACTTTTACTTTTGTATATTCCTTAGTTTAATCTGATGATTTTAATTTATTATAAGGTAAGTTGAGCTCTGTTAAAGATATATACTGTTCTGTGAACATTGATTATCGAAAATTAATTAAAGATATTAGTATAGATTTTGTATAATATGATGTACTTACTATACTTTTTTGATCCTTTAAATAATTTAAAAGTAGGTGTATTTGTATATTTTATTGTTACTTTACAAGGTCATGTACAAATAAAATTGCCATGTAATTTCTATCAGCTGACTGTATCTTATGACAATGTGACCTTTTCTGTAGGGCTCAGAAACGTATGGATGGAGAATATGTTTTTGACTCAAAGATTTCTGTAAAATTTCACAAGGAAACAGGAAACAGTAACAATAAAAGTCAAGGTATATAATTATAAATTTATTTTATGTTTTTATTTTGACAATAGTTTTCTTTTACATAAATTCCTTTACGTTCTGGTCTTTAGTTTATAATCATGTAATTTGAATATTTCTTCTTAACTGTATAGTGTATATAATAAAATCTTTTTTAAAACAAATTTTTAAATAGTATATATATATATATATATATATATATTTATATGTTTCTTGGGTTCAAATTAAAATTACAGAGAGGATATTATTATATATTAGTATAATTTTAAATAATATATTATTATGTATAATATAAAATTTTTAATTAAATATATCTTAACTGTAGGAAATTCCATAACTCGAAATCGTGCTATAAGTGAATCAGAAATTATAGCTAACTCTTCTAGGCAAATGTATAGTGCAAGTGCTTCAATAGCGGGTGCACGAACCCTTCAAGTTCCACATTATCAATCATCATCGCCTGTGGTAGGACCATATACTACTTGGGCAGGAGTACCCTGTGCTCCTGTTAGTATTTCTTCAGGGTATGTCTTATTTATTCTATAATATTTATTTATAAATAATTAAATCATATTTAATGATGATATTCCGAAAAAGAGCCTTGGAGTCACAAGTCGATTTTATTTTATCCTTGTCGATTTGGGCTGTGAGCTTTAGAAGCTTTGATCTTATCTGAACTATGATATAGTAATATACTAATTATGTACTATTATTTTATCTACGAATTATTAATTATATCATATTTTTAGAATGATTCAACAACCACCAATTATTGTTGCTAGACCATATTCATCAAATAGTGATGTAACATTTAACAGAACTTATAATGAACTAACTAGAGTTCAATCACCATTGATTTGGCAAGTTGCTGGTTCTCAGCAATTTAGTCATTTATGGGAAGACCAATATAAGGTACATTTCTAAATCTTTTCGTTAAATGTAGTATTTTTATAAAAACGAATATCTTGTAATATAAAATAACATTTAACAATAAATAACATTTTAAGGTGGAAAAAACAAAACTATCAAGCAAACGAATACATGCCCCGCAGGCTCGGGACAACAGTGCTGCTAATGGTACAATATCAAGAACACCAGAATGTCTTAGACCTATCAGAGGAGCTCACAATTCATTCATTCATGCTTCAGAATGGGCAGGTAGGACACAATTATATAACCTTTCAAATTATGTTTTCAAGAGAACACAATACAATAAAAATATTATTCTATACCAATAATTATTACTTTTTATTTCTTTGTTATATAGTTCATTCTCAAACAAATACCTTCAAACGCCGTAGTCCATCTCCTATGTATGAATCTCAGATACATGAACGAAATAATCAATGGAATGGACAAGTATATAGAAAATTAAAATATTTATTTTATAAATATAAATATTATTTCATTATATCTAATATCATAATTTTGTGTAGAACCAACATTCCGTATTCATACGTAATACCAGAACACCATCACCATATGAAGGTACTATGATACGAGTTATAAACCAACAAAATAATCATTTCTCTCCATATCATCAAAATGATGCAGAAAATGAAGAAGTAGAAGTGAGTTTTATAATATACAATATATTATTTATATTATGTATAATATGTAAAATATATACACACATAATACTTTTAATACTAAATAGTATATAATATACACGCACACATATATATTGAGAAGATATATTAATATTTTGTTAGAAATTTTTTCATCCAATAAATCGTAATGGAAATGGTACATCTAATGGAAGTTATACACCTATTGAATTACAAGTAAGCAATTTAGATCAAAACATTGACCCAAAGGAAATGAAGCATATTCTTTCATCTATTTTCATGGAGCACGTAACAGTAAATCATCAGCTAAATTATTTTAAAGAAATTATTTTTGTTTTATAACAATTTTCTCTAATCAAAATTATTTTATAGGTTTTGCATGTATCTATTTTTATGCAATCTGATGGTAACTATGCAGCTAGTGTCAAAGTAGCTTCTTTGCCAGATGCACAATATGCAATTTCTCAATTACATCGTCGTAAAATTGGATATAAGCGTATACTAATATCGTATGCTCATACTGGAGGTCCAAATCCTCAACTCATACGTGCACAAATTGTAATGCTTTTGCAAGAAGTACCAGGTCATAAATTGCCACTTTTTAAATTTCGAGAAATGTATGAAAGTCGTTTTATGATATCTATTAGTATTTCTGAATTGTATAAAATGAAAGATGTATGTATTGTCACTGAAGATGCTAGTGGAAGAATGGTATCTCTTAATCCAGATCATAGAAATACACCATCTCCATGTTTCAGTACTCCAACTCAGGTAAGTTATATAATTTATGTTTATATAAATTAATTTAATTATTTTTCTTATTTTCATAAATGATGTTAAACATATAGCCGAGTTTGAATATTTTCAATGATTAGTAGAGCTTTTGCTCCTAACATTGTTGAGATTTGATTATACAATAAAGCGATATTTTTTATACTGATATATTATATTTATATAATTCATTGCATATATTGAGAAGTTTTATAGATGTATAAAAGATTGTTTTTTAATATATTTAGGAAGGATATGTAGAATTACCATATTGTATTAAACATACATCAAAACCATGGTCTGATAAAGGTTGGGCTGAGCAAGAAATGGCATCTTTGCCAAATGTTAATGTTTCTCTAAAATTACTTGCCCCGCGTATACAGCAATTATTAACTATGCACAATGGAAGTTTGCCACTACCCAGGTATATTTTATTTTAAGTTCGATTTGTATTGTTCTTTTTATTTCAATAGAGAATCAAGCATGAACAGAGAGTAATGTACTAATATATAAACATTTAAAACTGTTAAATACATATGATAGATCTCCATATAACGCGGTATTGGTATAATATGATTTCTTATAACATGATTGAAATATTACTGTACTTTACTGTACTGTACTGTAATTTTTGATTTTGGACTTAAACAGTGATTTTGGACTTAATTGCTTTTCTACTCTGAGATGTACTATATAATGTAGAAACGTTTTTACAGTTTTCATTCTCTTCGTTTCAAAAAAAAAAATATAAAATTTGTTATAGTTTTGTACAACAAAGGAATTCTTTTATTAATACTTTATTGTTTGCATTATAAATTATAAAATATGAAGTAGAGATATATAAATATATTATCTTTATTTAATACTTTTTCTTATTATTTTCTTGTCTAATCATCGCAAATAAAATTACAGTTTTAAATACATGTTTATGACAGAATGTTAATTTAATAAATCTTACAATTTTACTATTACTTAATAATGCATTCTTTAAATCAGATATTCCTACCATGTTTTAGTTTGCCAAATTGTTATGCAGCTGAATTTAAAGAACATTTAAAGGTGATAGAAAATGGTGTACCTTTAGAACATTTAGTATCATGTCTATCATTTGTTCAATTAAAGCAAGGTATTGGAAGTGTCAAATACCTTAGTTGGGCTTTAGATAAAGATCACGATGAAAGTCATGAAGGTAAACTTACTATAATATTAATTAATCTTAATTATAAACGTAATATATACTACTCTGTAAGTGTAAAGGAATACTAAATGTACATTTTCATACACATTCTTTTCAGAAAATAAATGTGTTAGTCCTCCATTGGCAAATCAATTGGCTTTATTTAGTCGTGAATTAGTGGACCTTCTAAAAACTGCTCCACACTGCCAACTACCATTTAATCGATTTATTCCAGCTTATCATCACCATTTTGGAAGACAATGTAGAGTTGCTGATTATGGATTCACCAAATTAATCGATTTATTAGAAGCACTTACACATACTGTTCAAGTATATTGAAAAAAGATTTGTAATTGTTGTTAATTTGTACATATATGCATTTTCTAATTAGTAAATATTAATTCAGGTAATGGGAGAGGGAAATAAACGAGTAGTAACACTTTCTCATCGTGCTCAAGTACGTCGTTTTACATCAGATTTACTAAGAGTGTTAAAATCAAAAGCTAGTAAACAAGTGACACTTTCAGAATTTCCAAATGTTTATAGCAGAGTAATAGGCAAGTAAAAAAAATATGAAATGACAATTTTATAAATTAATATATAATAGCAAAATAAAAAATATGTCTAATAAATTATATTTGAATTCAGCTAAGCCATGGGATATTGTTGATTATGGTGTATGTGAAATTGAAGATATTCTTAGCGAAGTATCAGAGAATACAGTTGTTATGACTACAATTAATGGAGGCGATAAAATGATAGCTATCCCCAAACGTGAACAAACTGCAGAAGAAATAGAACGTACAAAACAATTTGCATTTGAGGTAAAATACATTTAATTATTAATATAATATAAAAGAAACATTTATAAAATTTTGTTACTAGGTTGTAGAATTATTGAGACATGTTCCTCAATGTAAAATGTTATTTAATAAATTTGTGCCATCTTATCATCATCACTTTGGTCATCAGTGTCGTGTATCAGATTATGGATTTACTAAATTGATAGAATTGTTTGAAGCTATACCAGATGTAGTTAAAATCGAAGATGGAAGTAATGGTGAAAGGCAAATTAGTTTGACAGAAAAAGAGGGTTTGCGTGTTCTCAGTGAACAAATATCAAAGCTAGTAGCTCATACAAAAAGTGGTCTTAGTGTTTCGAATATTGTTCAGAACTTCTTACGACAATTTGGCTATGCATTGCGTCCAGAATTATTTGGCTGTAATTCTGTATTACAACTCATGCAGAAACTTGATGACAGTGTTAAGGTATAATAAATTATCAATATTTCCATTAAGTTCTTTTTTGATACAGGCATTGACAAGAATTTTATGTATTTAATTACTAGATTATAGATTTAGCTACAGGACCAGTAATAGTTGCAATAGATAAATCTCACTTGCAGCAGTTAGCTTTACAATGTCGCAGAGTGTTAATGGATCAACCTCAATATAAAACGCCTGTAAAAGAATTTCGACAACAATATTCTCAATATTATTCAAAAACTTGTAATATTGAAGAGCTTAAAAAAGATTTATCTCATGTTGTTCAGGTAAAATGATGTTTTATCTTTACTTGAGAGAAAAACAAGTATTAAATATAAATAGTATTATGAATTTTGTTTCAGTTTACAACAATCAATGAAGAAAATTTCATAGAATTAACTCCATTACATTGCTTTGCATGTAATTTATATCGTGTTATGATGAGTTGTGGTGGTCAACTAAATCTTTCACGTTTTGAAGCTGCATACCTAGCAGTCAATGGTTCAGCATGCAGAGCTGCTCAATATGGTTTTCCAACATTAACAGCTCTTTTACAAGCATTACCTTGTACTGTGATATTAAAAGATACACGAAAAGATAAACGAAAAAAGAAAGTAATATATCTTAATAAAAAATTAGCTGGTAGGTAAATTATTTTATTTATTAATATATTCCTTCTAACAAATTTCTGATTTATCTTTTTACATTTTTTTTGTATTTTTATTGAAACAGCTGTTGGTATTGCATTACCTGTAATGTATGCATCAGGTTCATCATATCATGATACAGACTCTAGCAATGAGTCATTCGAAAGTGATTCTTCATCACGTATAAATGTATCTAGTAATGCTTCCACATTGGAAGAACATGGAAAATGGATAACACACGTAATTAATGGTCATAATTCTTGGAAACAAGATGAAGATAACCATTTTTGGACACAAGATTGTGAAAAACATTGGAAGGTCTTAACATATTCGGAAGAACGATCAAATAATTGGCCATTATTTGAAAATAACAATGGAGATTTTCTTAAAAATTTGATACATACACCAACAATTATACAAAACGATTTTCCAGCTCCTCCACCTAAGCCTGATTCTCCACCTGAGGTATATGCAATATTTTATATTATAAATTAATTACTACTAGTTTTCCATAAAAATAGTTTTTTTAGTATTTTATAAATATACATTTCATGTATATGCACATACATGTACATAAAATAGTAAATATGTATATGTATGTATGTATGTATGTATGTATGTATGTATGTATGTATGTATGTATGTATGTATGTATGTATGTATGTATGTATGTATGTATGTATGTATGTATGTATGTATGTATGTATGTATGTATGTATGTATGTATGTATGTATGTATGTATGTATGTATGTATGTATGTATGTATGTATGTATGTATATATATATATATATATATATATATATATATATATATAATATATGTATTAAAAAATCGACTATATGCACACACACACACACACACACGCACGCACGTACATATACACACACAAATACATATAAATGTTAGGTGGATATAAGAACAGATAATCAATGGAAGTCTTCAGTATGGATAGCACCAACAAAGATTTTATATTCGCAAGATGAACGGGTTACGAACGTAGAAGTAAGTGTGTTAGGTGAAATTTTATGAAAAATGTTTTTTATCATCTTTTATTAATTTATCTATATAATTACAATAATATTAGTTTTTCAAAATATATTTATATTTGTAGAAAATACATGGAACTTATTATTTATACAACTAAATTTTTATGGAATATTGAAGAAAAGCTCATCTTTAATATGAAATAATTACTTTTTAGGTACCTCCATTAACTTTACCTTCCTGGAATCAAATATCTGAGGATGATACATTAAATTTATTATCACCAACCAAAAACTTATTACCAGCTGCTGCAAATCCGTTAAATCCACGTACGTCACCTTATTTTTCAACTAAGCACAATTTAGTTATAGCACCACATCCATCCGAATTACCGCTACCTTCATTGTCGCTGACACCGAAAAAGAATGTGTCCTCTGAAAGCATTACAGTCGTGCAAGATTGTATAGGAAAACAAGACGTTAATTCTAACAATATTAGTGAAGTTAATAACACAAGAAATTTCGGAAAAGAAAATAATGTTGATAATAAGAAAAATGAAATTCACAACACTCCAACTAAACCATGTAAGCATAGTTTATTCACATAAAGATAATTTTATTATTCTACCATTTTGTATGTAAATCTTCTTATTAATTTTATTCCTTTCTAGTATTTACAGGAAAGCGACGTTTAGCAGCTCAATTCAACCAACCTCTTCAATCATAAATATAAATTGAGATTTATAACTCAATTGAATGCAGGCAGTCATTTTAATTTAAAGATGTAAACGTTTGAGGTTTTAACTCATCGGTAGATCGCTGCACAATCATTTGAGTACCTATAAAACTACCCCTTAGTCGGTAGGTACCATTATAATGTCTAAAATTTATATTGTTCGTATACATTCATTTCATTTGTACTTATCTTGATAGAATAAAAAAAACAGAAGTTATTTTCAAAATATATGAACATGTACAATATGTAACAGTTTCTAAATTGAAAATCTAAAATGAATGAGCAGCGTTTATATCGAATGACACGTATTGATGGTATTGTATACAAAAGTCGTAGCATTTTCCACACTGTGATATAGAATAAGAAGAATGTGAAAATAATTGTACTAGCAATAAAGGAAACGTGCCTTCGTAATGGCACTGAACACATGTAAGGTACTTTAGATTTGGGCCGACTTTTCCTACCTCATACGTGATTAGACAGACAAAATAAATAAATTAAATTGTATTATATTATTTTTTAACCCTTTGCGGTCCGGATTATTTTCAATGTCTCATTTTAAGTAATCTGCATTCATTCATTATTAATTTTTTATCGTTATTATACTTTATAATTATTTTAAATTAAATATCGAATTTAAAGGGATTAAAATATCGATATTCTTTATAACTGTACAAAATAAAAATATACAAAAGTTCACCATTATATCTTTGAAACAGGATTTCAATTTATATTTAAAATATAGGACCGCAAAAGATTACATTTCAAAATAACTAATTTTTGTAGATGTTTAAATATCATTATAGTGTTTATATTTGTAATTATTGATTAAATTTAGTAATTTTTAAAGATATTCTAATAGGCCCGAATCTACTGATTTTTTCGTACAACTGTGTAGATTCCGAGTTGTATTTGTATAAATTTATTTGCATTTATGAAATAATGTACATGATTCCAGAATAATGTTAAACAAATACAACTCGAGATTTCTAATTTTATTAATTTACATAATGATCAATTTGTACAATTATTATTATTACTAGTATTTATGACATATTATTTCATTACAGTCAACGTGTTTTATAAATTAATATATAATTTTATAATTATATTATAAGTATATATATTTGTAAGATTATTTGTAAAAATTAGGAAAGATTACATATATAGGAACTTCACACAGTTTCAGTAAGTAAAAAAAAGTTTTAAATGATAATATAACAATTTCTATACAGTATTAAAATTAAGAAAGCAGTGGTACAATTAAAGCGTACATGTAATATACTGTAAAATTTTAACGAAAAATTAAGGTTACTTTAAATTATAGAATATGATTGCTTCGAGTAATTTTATTAGAAAAAAAGAAAAGTATTGAAACGGTGAAATAATTTACATCGATTTTTTGTGTATGAATAGAAAAGCTAATACAGATTAGCCTAAAGAATATCATTTATATCACATTAAACCATAATTTTAATCTTTCTATTGTTACGTGTAAAGTATAGTACAAAACAAACATAAAGAAGATAAGCGCTTTCTTCAATTTACTTAATTAAGATCTTGATATCATATTTTATTTTTACATTTACGAATGTTTTATTAGCGATAACTATTCATTACAATGTAGAAATAGTAAAAAGCGTTTTACAGTGGCTTTATAAATTTTTATAATTGCAAGTATAATGAAAAGTGTTATTTTTGTAATTGTTATTTCAGTTTTGATAAATTGCTGAATTAGGTACAAAATCTTTTAAAATTTTACCAACAGTAATACATGTTGGCAATAATATAATGTGTAATAAGTCAACTAATAATTAGATACAGAATCCTGAGGAAAACTTTTTGCTGTTATTTTGTGATCGCTAATGAAATATTAAATTATTCTTAATAGTAGTGTAATTTTGTTTTTGTTTTATATTTATTGTGTAAAACTAGATGAAAATCTGTTTTAAATGTTTTCATACTAAATATTAAATACCATTTTATATATCCCATTTAATATGTGAGAATAAGAAGTATCAGAAGTGTTAGGTAGCGTACATAAAGAACTTTTAATTTCTTTTATTATTTAATCACATTAAATGGGTTACTATTCATTTGGATATAAAACTACACATGTAGATAATATTTACAAAGAAGGTTCTTTGATCTGGATGTAAAATTGATGAATGTATAAATCAGTTTACATATGAAACTTAAAGTATGATAAATTTTTAATACACTTAATTTTGTTAAGTTTTATTATCGTAACATATGTAATTTGATTCTAAAATACAAAATAATCAATGGAATCTTCTAAAAAAAATGTAATCAATCAATTAATTTGATACATATGTACAATCATATAGAATTTTTATATATAGTACAATGATAAATGAAAATAAAATAGTAGTTCAAAAACATAAAATGTGCTTATTTTAACTCATGAAAAACATGATTAATGTTGAATATATCTAATTTTTTATGTAGCATATGAAATGACATATACAATTTCATATATAACTTATTTTTATTTTATCAAGTTTTATACAATATCTATACACATAAGTTTATTACTAACTTCTTTAAATAGAAGCATGCATTTTGTATTAAATCCCTTTCTACGATAATAAGGAAATATTTTATGTCTTCATTCCACTACCTACAGGACCATGTCTTCGTTCCCAAACCATACGATGTTTTTGCTTCATAAATGCTTGTTGTACATTGAGTGTAGGATTCAGATCACCATCTAAATAAAATTGAATTAAGTAAAATCTCATATTTCTACATAATTAAATTATATTTGTAGATAATAATATTGACATTTTGCAAACCAAGCTCCACTGGCTTCTTCATATATTTTTCTTAAAGGATAACAAACTTCCCTATCATCTTCTCCATGATACATAGCACATTCTTCATATCGACATCTCAAAATAGATAAAATAGCATCATCGACAGCCCTAGTAAAGAGAAATCAATATTTTATCCAAGTTAATATTAAATTTGTATATTATTACTTTTATAAACGTAATTACTTATCGCGTTCAAATTGAAGATTAGCTTCAGTGTAACAAACTAAGTCATCCGTATAACATTCATCAATAGTTGGAACACGGCGAAATTTTTGATGATACCAAGGATATTTTTTTTGGTTGGGCTCAACGATTTTCTCTAACAATAATAATAAAAGAGAAAGATTTACTTTTGTTAAACGTATCAAATACTGATTATGTTATTTGTAAAACATAACCAAAGAATGATTAGATAATACCTCGAAAAAATACAACAGGTGTATCAATGATGTAATATACAGCTTTTGCAAATTTTATTAAAGCATTTGGACTGTCTTCCATTGTCTAACGATTAATTAATTACGATTTATGCGATTTACGTAGTACTTTTTGATAGAATACTCTTGTGAGAACTAAGAGAACGCCATCAGTTCATTTTTATTGGTACTGGCATTACCAGGTACTAATATTAAAAGGGACTAAAACGTCATCTATCGTCTTTAAATTATTACAATCTTAAAATAGAATAAGAAAGAATACAATATAAAAATAAATTACTCTGATTCTTCTTGAAGTATTTTATTTTTACTTAAATAAATAAAAATATTTATTTTTAATTCAATAATACTTTATCATGACTCAATAAAACTAAAAATCAACAATTCCAAAAAAAACATAATGCATATATATCAATTTCAAAATTACATACATTATTAGATTATGGAAAAAATCAATTTTAAATAATACAAGGAAAAAAAATAATTTTATTTAATTTGTTTAAATGGTTGATAAATTCATTCAAAGTTAAAAAATAAATTGTAAATAATATACATCAGATATAAACAAAAAAAAGAAAAAGAAAATTCGTACAAATAAAGATAGCATAAAAAGCGACAATTGAATAAATATAGTTTGCAAGAAATTATTAGTCGAAATTTAACCAATAAAAAAATAAGATTTTGAGATTCATTAAACAGTTCAGTTACTAAGCGTTAGAAATACATTTACACTTGCGAATTGTGATTTCACTTCTAGTATTGTGTAAATCTATGCTCAGAGTCTGAAATGATCAAGCGTCGTGATTTATGTTTGACTGAAGAGATTATAAATCATCATCAGAATTTCCAAATTTTCAAAAAAAAAGCGGATGAAAGTTTAGTTTTCTCACGAGTGTTTATATTGAGATATCTTTATCAGCGATATTTATATATACTTTGTAGTGTTCCATCGTGCATAACACGTGAATATGTATCGGTAAAATGGTATGACTATGTTTACTTTGTGTACCAAAACATCGATGACCTTGAAGGTGGGATAGTCACATGATCTTGTTATGAGGAAACGATTGGTCGAGAAACCGAGACGAATATAGTGTCTATTGCGTTGTGCATGCTCCGCGTAATAGGTCCTGTATTCTGCATTCGATAGGCCAAAGGCAAAGCGCGGCAAGGAGCGGTCGAATGAGCGGCTGAGTGAGCGAAAGGAAGAGAAGAAAAGAGAAAAAGTGAGGGTGAGAAAGCGGTAGAATCATTGGAACGAAATAGAGAAGGAGAGAGAAGCGCGAGAGACAAGAGCAAACGAGGACGAGGTAGTGAAGAGGAAGAGGTAGCCAAGAGCGACGAGAAGAGAGAACAATTAAAGGCTAAGACGCGCGACGGCAACGGCGACGAAGACAACAACGACAACGACGACGACAAACGGACAAACGACGAACGCAACGAGGACAACAACAACGACGGACGACGAACGCAACGAGGATAACAACGACGACGACGAACGCAAAGAGAACAACAACGTCGACAACGACGACGACTCGACGCGACGCGACGACAACGAAGAAGAAAACGAAGTGTGCCGCTGTTCGGTCGTACGTCCGTGTGTGTGCGCGCGCGTTGGTCGCTAGTGTTGTGTCCAAGATGAAGTCCGACTCTAAACCTTTGTTGACAGCTCAAGCGGAAAAGGCGAATCATTACACGTAAGTAGCGCCCGCCGGGCCGGTCGCGTGCTACGTGAGAGAAGTGAGATAAAGATCAGAGCCAGAAGTGCGTGACCCAAAGTGGAGTGCGAGAAAAAAGAGAGAGAGAACAGAGAAAGAGAGAAAACCGCGAACAGCGCGGCTACGACGCGCGCGTCGACAAAAAACTCCACGAAATAATGTGTAGCTCTGTGGATTCGCATTCCAGATACTTGAAGGAATTTCGCGTCGAACAATGTCCCCTCTTTATACAGCGCAAATGTACACAGCACCGTCCCTTCACGTGCTTCAACTGGCACTTTATGAACCAGCGGAGGCGCAGACCGGTGAGAAAGAGGGACCGCACCTTCAACTATAGTGCTGATAATTATTGTACCAAGTACGACGAGACCACCGGTATATGCCCAGACGGAGATGAGTAAGTTGATATTTCGTCTTAAAAAAACCTTATTTTTTTCTTGTTGCCTTTAATTGTTTTATTTTGCTTTCGGACGAATTTAAAGAATTTGTCAATTATTGTAACGAAGGCAACGGTGACGGTGACGCGACGCGTTGCCTTCTAAGTACTCTTGCCACGGCCGTCACATCGATTTAAACGCTCGTTCATTTGTTCGCGACGTTCACAAAATCATCGATTTGTCTATTATTTTCTTTACTAAACGATTAAACATATCTATTATTGAGGATAATATTTTTTATTTTATTACGTTTTATTTGTCGCATTCGTAATGGCAGTGATAGTAATCATTAGACGTCTTTGAATGGTTTATGAATACCACTTACTATACTTTCACTATGTCTCACGAACAACCATTTCTTTTCAACTCTTTGAATAGTCGTATCCTAACGTACCCTGTTAAGATAAGGGGAATAGGAGAAATAGACAAAAGTAGAGTATTGCTATACTAAATGTGTTTTACGTCCACGAGGGAATAACACATTTTCTCTCGAATTCTTTCATGTCCCTCTTCTCCCACCATCTTTTTTTCTCCGAATACTCTCCTATCCCTCCTTCCTCGAATGGTTTTGCCTCCTTTCTTTGTGTCGTTGACACGCGTGTGTACCGTTGTATGTAATATATATGTCTCTCTTCCTCTTTTAATGATGACGTATATAGCATAACTCGTCAACGAGTGTAACTTTTGTAACGAAGCGCAGTTTGTCACTTTTCGTTCATATGACGCGTTTCTTGTTCGACTATGTTGAGATAGGTATACGCCGAACGATGTTTAAATTGCAAGAATTTTTTCGTTTTCTTTCGTTTTTTATAGTAAGGAGAGAGAAAGAGAGAGCTTATGCATAATTTGTATTACCGAAGATAGAAAAATCACTTGCACTTGTAGTAAACACATCCCTTTCAATTTTAAAGGCAAATTTATTATAATTTACCTTCAGAAAAAAGAAATAATCTTACTAAAAAAATTTTCGTTTGCAAGTAGTATAATATTTTATATTTATTTATTTATTATTACTCTCATGTAGGAGAAAGAAGAAAATAAGTCATAAAATTTTCACGTAAGATAAATGATACGAAAATCTTGATATCTTCGTTTCTGCAAAAGTACACAGTATAGTAATAATTCGAGGTTAGCGTCACAAACAAAAACTAAATAAAAAAATAAGCATTAGCATAGTATGTCGTATGACATAGAATCAACTGTACACTCCTATTATGCAATATTCTTCAATTATATTTTTAATGTTTATAAAAAAGCAACAAACATAACAAAGCAAGCATAAAATAATATATTAAAAAAATATTGTTCCTCAATTATTATGTTATACGTCAATATATTTTCGATGTGTATGCATTTTACATCCTATAATTTATATATGTATAGTACAATTATTATACAAACAATTTTATCATAAAATAGGCATGTCATGTAATTTATTTTTATTAAATAAAAATGTATTGCACGAAACATAATCCCTGAACAATTGAATCACCGAATTACTTCTTAATACAATTTAGATTTTTGTCTCATGATTTTAAGTTTTTAGTTATATATATTAGTACGACATATTAGAATGATTTGCTATACATATCTTAAAGATGTGCAAATTTTTCTGCGCCGTTGGATTCTTTCAATACTTTTGAATTTGCCCCTATTCGAGTATATTCAGGCGTTTTCAAATATTATAGTTCAGATAAATAATGCACATACAAATTTTTAAGTTATACATACTAGATAGTAATGTCTTTGTACGTAATAATTTAACAACAGTGAACAACTGTTGAAGAGTGCTGTGTAAGAACAAGAATACGCTAAGAAGCGAAAGAAAAAGAAAAGGGGGATAAGAGACAATTGATTTCACAAGTCAACTTTGCACTTCTCTCTAATATACCTATCTTCAATGATGTACGCGAAGAAAATATGAATTCGAAAAAAAAAATATTTTACGAGTACTTCGAATCATTTGCACTATATACTCATCCCCGTATAGGATGCTTATACAAAGTAGTCCCAATCCTAGAATTCTTTTAAAATTAAACCCAAGTATTAATAGCTTACTTATTTCGGTTTCAGGTGTAATCGAAGATACTGACTCTGTTACCATCAGTAAGAGAAGTACAGTGAATTATAATAGCGCCTGAGATGGGGGTATCCTCTACTTTGCTTAGCTTTCCTTTTCATATAACTTTTGTTATTTTTCTTCTATCGTTCAAAAGAAAATATCATTGTGTATGTTCAAAGTTCACACCTGAAGATTTATTAAGAAATAAATAATATTAGTGATACACAAGTATACGAATGAACAAAAAAATATCAATTAGTATAGAAAAATTAGTTATTAATTCATTTTTATTATTCATGTGATAAAATAGTAATAATTGTAATACTTTCAATTAAAAATCACTAATCATTACGTTATATTTTCAATACATATGGATATTAGACTTACAGTTATAGTTTTATCCGATAAAACTAGAAGGATACAAACATGCGGAAAGGGAAGTTGGAGAAAATGGAGGGGGTATCCTCACTAGGTGCCATTATTGCTACTTACTGTACGACTCACAGCAATCGTGTGCGTAACGAGGATTTGTAGTATAGTATTCGTGGGAAAGCTTTTGCAGGAAGAAATATGTATAATAACATTAATTTAACTTCTAATTTGCCGAATATAACTTCATATAATTCTTCATCAAATTTATTTTCCTTCCTTCTTTTTTTTTCTTTTTTTTCTTTGCAAAAGTTTTATAAATTACTACGCGCGAATACTAGGGCTATATTTTACCTTTACGTACATCGATTAAAGTAAACTTTTTTATCACAGATATATAAATAACGAAAACAATGAAATCTAAAGAACTTGGCTGGTGATAATAGCTAAAATTTCAGTAGTTCCCTCTCAGTTGTAGATTCAGAAATAATAAAAGTAGATAAAAAATTCAAATATTATTTCTAAACTAACTAAAGTATACAATGTACAATTACAATTTTTTAATAGAGGTGAAATTAATATATTATGCAAAGTAAGTGAAGAATTATAAGAAAAATAGTTTTTGTTATAACATTAATAAACAATACAAAATAAAATTAAAGTTTTTATTAAGAGTCCTTATAGTGTAAAATATAATATTTTACCAAGCTTTCAATAGTTTTTTTTCTATATATATTCATAAAAAGTAATCTAACATTAAACTTATTCTATTATGAGATTCAACAAATTTTGTGCTATATACAAATATTTTGTTATGCTATTGTGATATATATGGATTATTTTATAGGTTAACCATTATAGACAAACTATTACTATTTATATATTTATTATATAATGTTGCAGTGTTTATTATAAAACTTTAAGCATTCAAATCTTGAACTTATATTTTACGTAAAATTGCTGCTCATTTATAAGTTACTAATGTATTATATGTCTACATATTGAATTAGTACACCCATACTGAAATATTTAATATTTTCTAAATTTATTATATATATTCTTTTCTCTTATTTTATAATCGTGTTATGTTACTTATACATATATACAATCATTCTCAAATGATCATATGGTTTCGAAAGTAACATTTTGCAAGAATAAATAAAATCTTTTGAACTGTGAACTGTAATTAATGTGTTAATATGACCAATGTCAAAAAATGTTATAAAATGGCAATTGAAAGTGACAATACTAAAATAGTAAAATATGCCTTTTATAAGATTTGTATTAAATCTTATTATAATAATTTAATAATTGTAATTTATAAATTTCATAGTTTCAAAGAGTATATATTTATCTAAATCATTATATAAATACATTTGAAACATTATGGAAAAAAAATACATCCACTTTGCATGATTTTATAGTCATAACAGAAAATTTATTTTTTAATATTGATATAATAATTAAAAAAAAATTACACTGCATTATATATATTTTTACACTTGGAACATAAATATATTTACAACTTTGTGTTTTCAAATATCTTACATTACATCTATGTGTTTTAATGTTCTAATTATTTATTAAAATATAAATTTAAAATATGAGAATACATTGTAATATTATTTAAGTGAATTTTTTAGGTTATATTTTTATTTTTAGGTTTATAATTTTTTAGGTTTTATTATTAACAGAGACTTAGTACTTCATAATATGGAGTATATATGCATGTGTGATATAACAAGTTAAGCCTGACGTTGAGATAAATCCATTGTGCATCTCTTATATGGAATATTTTATTATTTATATCTTATTACTATTTTTATACACATAAGAAAATTTCAATGTAATATTATTCTTTCAAGATATATTTATAGCATAATACGAATTTTAAATAATATGCAAGTTAATTATAATTTTAGGATCATGTGATGTTATCTTTCTTTGAATAATTTTATTACATAAGATAGTGTAACGTAATAGAATGGAACCTCACACAAATTATAATATCAAATAAGCACATATAATTCTTTTTGCATGATTGTTTAATTAATCATTAATGATTATTTTATAATTATTTTTTATATGTTATCTTTTATATATCTAAAAATACTTGAGAAAGTAAACACATTTTGACTGATCAAAAATATCATGTTTAATTTCAATGATTGTGTTGGATAATTATTGTTATAATTATCACATATTTAATTTTTGGATGGTATAATATATATTGGTTTTCTAAAAAGAATGTCAACCTTTACATTAATCATTATCACATCGAAATACCATGATCATATAAATGTTTGTAAAGATTATATTTAAGCTAATGATTTCTTATATTAAATTTTATTAGTGCATGCATATAAACAAATAATTTTTATGATATTAAAAGTAAAATTCTAATAGTAATTTAATTATAGCAATTTTATGTTTAATTATTAATATTATGCTTTTGAAACAATTGTGTCATAATTATATTTATCTTTTAAATGTGCATGCATTATTTGAATTTATCTTTATTTATTTACATATATTTTCGTCGACTTTTTACACCAAATACAGTACTAATTCTCTTAAAGAGTAAATAATGTATATTTAATATATTTAATGTATGAGTATAGTATGTTATAATTGAATTATGAAAAGTATGAATGAGTGGGATTCATGGTAACATAGTGATTTTAAGTACTACACGCGAAATGTGGAGATCTAGGTTCGATTCCTAGTCCATCATGCAGTCTATTTTTTCATACGTATATATACAGCTATGATATTGTTTCATTTTAAATGTAAAAATATTAATGCATGATCATATTAATTTTATAAAAATAGTAGATGTATATTGTTCATCTTGTTTATATATCTTCTGTTTGAAATAATATTCAGATATCAGAATGGAACAAGTTCTCACAAATTATTTTTTTGAACAGGTGCCCATTTTTACATCGTACTGCTGGCGATACTGAGAGACGTTACCATCTGCGTTATTATAAAACATGCATGTGTGTTCATGATACGGATACACGTGGGTTTTGTGTTAAAAATGGACCTCACTGTGCCTTTGCACATGGCAATCATGATTTACGACCACCTGTGTATGATATCAAAGAAATACAGGCATTGGAAAATCCAGATACAGATCCTAATTCTTCGTCCAATGGACCAAACATTCTTGATAAGGAACGAAATTTGATGAATGAAGATCCAAAATGGCAGGACACGAATTATGTACTTAGTAATTATAAAACAGAACCGTGTAAACGACCTCCAAGACTTTGTCGTCAAGGTTATGCTTGCCCACAATACCATAACAGTAAAGATAAAAGACGTAGTCCACGAAAATATAAATATAGGTAAATTAAGTTTTTTTTATTCTACTTTCAATATCATTAAAATAATTTTAATATTATTATTATTGTTTTCCTAGATCAACACCATGTCCAAATGTAAAGCATGGAGAAGAATGGGGTGAACCAGGAAACTGTGAACAAGGAGATGCCTGCACATATTGTCATACCCGTACAGAACAACAATTCCATCCTGAAATTTACAAATCAACTAAATGCAATGATGTACAGCAGGCTGGTTATTGTCCACGTGGAGTCTTCTGTGCATTTGCGCATGTTGACCGTGAGTGTACCCTCATCAATCGTACGTAAAACAATTGTTACCTATTTCAGCAGGCTTAGAATATTTCGCAAATAATTTTTTTATCTAAAATTGTATCTAAAACCGAACTTATGTAATTCAAGTTCCAAGTACATTATTCTCATTGTATATATAACTTAATTTTGCGTAACAGATTTAAATTGAATTTAATATTTTACAACGATATATGTACACTCTGCTCCATTCTTATGTTATGTAAAAATTACTTTTGGCATTTTACAAAAGTGGAATTTAATTTCTTGAAAATAATAAACTTTATCATTAAAATTGCTTCTCAAAATTGATAAATTGGGACGTTGGTATGGTGTGCTGATGGAGCAGTATTGCCAACAGAAGAAATGAGTCTGGCGAGGGACATGGCGGTACCCATAGATTGCGGCACAAATTTAGCAGATATACTCAATAATGCTTTACCACCTGATAAGCGCAGTCATGACAAAGACAAACCTCTTAGCGATAGCAGTGTAAGTTTTTAATTCTTGTGTAAATTTGCAATAAAAATTTACTTAATAATAAAATATAATTATATACATATAACAAATGAATTTGTTAATGTGAATTATATACATATAACAAATTCATTTGTTATATAACAAATTTTATCAACTGATAAAATTGCAGAACGGAAGTGGTGAAGTATCTGAATCTGCGAGTACTAGTAGTCTTGGTAGTAATAGTTCACATAGTAAAGCTCCTGGTGCTCAACTTCATAATTCCAATTCTAACAATGCTGTGAATGTTTCTGCCCAACAGAAACTTACTAGTATACTTTACAATCCTAGTTCTCTTTTACAAGCTGTAAGTTTCTTCTTTATTTGTATTTAATTAATGTTCTGGTTTTTAAAGTTGCTCTATATCAATGTAATATTTTTAATAGGGTGAAATAAGAAAACAAATGGTGGCTATAGACAGTGATCCATTATTAACAAAAGCTGAAAAGGCTCAACAAAAGCAAAGTTTATTTATCACATATAATTTAAATGGAACTTTAGGAAGTCATTCATTGACAACAACTGTATCACCATTATCCAATTCATTTTATCCAAACGACACTGTTGAATCTGTAGTAGGTGTGTGCTAATTTATTATTAATTTAATATTATTAAAATATTAGCTTTATATGTGTTTGATATATATATATATATATATATCAAATATATATATATATCAAATATATATATATATATATATATATCAAATATATATATATATATATATATATCAAATATATATATATATATATATATATATATATATATATATATATATATTGCTCAGCTAATAATGTATTATTTTTTTCTTTTTGTAGGAAATGCATTAGATGAATTACATTTAGATGATCCACTAAATTTAGTAGAATCAATTCATAGGGATACTAATTCACCAATTAGTAATTCTATATCAGCGGGTTTAGCAAGTTCAGGATTACTTGGTAGTTCAGCTCCAGTAAATATTCCTGGGATGACAGAACGATCTGTTTTGACAAATTTTTCTCCATCTACTTCAAGTCCGCTTCAGCAATTACAATCAGCCGGTTTCCTTACTGGACACAGATTTTCACATCAAGATTCTATAGAATCGGTAAGCATATATTACTAGTTAAAAACAACAATAAGATTTTTGGCAACTTTTTTTAATAATTTATGTTTTGGATTTTCAGACAATGCCATTTATGAATCAAGTTTCAGATCCATTTAACAATCACATTTCTCAGCTTAGTAGTTCAGCTTCTAAGCTTAGTGGATTTAATAGTAGCCTATTTGACTTTGCAAACCAAGGAATGTCACCATCTCGTACACAACCTCTCCCAGCGTCTCCACTGGTCAGTGCATTCTCCATCAGTCCAAGTAACACAGGATCTTTATCTGAGGTTAGAGTTTTTATAGCTATCACATATTTTGTTATTTTGTAAAAAGAAATTTGAAAAAATTATTAATTTTTAATAATTTATCATAGGTGCAGAGACTCAGAGAAGAATTGACTTCAAGTCGTGCTCAGTTAGCAACGTGGGATGAACGAATCAATCAAGCTAGAGCCGCTTGTGCAGCATGGCAATTAGAAAGTGAAGAAGCTAAAAGAAAAGCAAGTATTGCTGAACAACAAAGAGATGAGGTGAATAAAAATGTATACAATTTTTATTATATTAGTTATCATTGATGATTTGGAGTATATATGATGTTTCACATGAGCTTTCGCATCAAATTTCTTTTCTCTTCCTTAGTAATAA